TTTAAAAATCAAAAGTATGTACTTTATGGTATAAGCTAAGCAGCTATAACAAAGAGACCCCAAATTTAAAAAAAAAAAAAAAAGGCTTAAATGAGGCAGCATCTTACTCACATAACGGTCCAAAGGGAGGTGTGGTCCAGGGTAAGTGGTGTTCGGTTATGTGTTGCTATGTAAAACAACAATAATTACATTTTGCTCTTGGATTCTTGGGGTTAGGAGTTTAGACAGAGCGTGATGGGAATGGCTTGACTGTGCTCTGCTCTGTGGTGTCAGGGGCCTTCGCTGGGAAGACTCGAATGGCTGGGAGTAACTTACATGGCTGTGGCTAGAATCGTCTGGAGGTTCTTTGCCCACACATCTAAATGTTTGAGCTGAAACGACAAGAATGTTTGTCTTAGTTGAGACTATTGATCAGAGTGCCTACATGTGACTTCTCTATGAGGTTAGGATTTCCGTACAGCATGGTGGCCTCAGGGTAGTTGGACTGTTTGCTCTAAAATCAAGTGTTCCAGGGGCGCCTGGGTGGCTCAGTCGTTGGGCATCTGCCTTCGGCTCGGGTCATGATCCTGGGGTCCTGGGATCGAGTCCCACATCGGGCTCCCTGCTCAGCGGGAAGCCTGCCTCTCCCTCTCCCACTCCCCCTGCTTGTGTTCCCTCTCTCGCTGTGTGTCTCTCTGTCAAATAAATAAATAAAATCTTTAAAAAAAAAAAAAATCAAGTGTTCCAGCAAATAAGGCAGGAGTCACATGGCCTTCCATGACTTTTTTCTCAGAGACTGTAGTGTTGCTCCTGCCGTATTTTATTGGTCAAACCAGCCACAAGCCTGTCTATATTTAAGAGGTGGGAACAGAGATCCCACCTCTGTCTGTGAGGAGTGCTGAAGGATGGGCGATCGTGTTTTAACACCATCACAAGTGGGAAGCTCTGTCACATGAGGTCAGCCGAGGTTGGTTTGGCTGGGGGAAGGGACACTGGGCTTTGCCATTGACATCATGTGGCTTCCATCTCTGGTTTCAAGGTAACTGCATCTGTTGTCGCCATATCCCAGTCAGGAAAAGGGACAGTGGAGGGCAAGCAGCTCCTTATAAAGATGTGGTTCAGAACTTCGACTCATCACTTCTACCTGCACCCATTTGGCGGACTCATCCTGTTGCTACACGTAGCTGCAAGGGAGGCTGGGAAATGTCTGTTACTGGATGGCCATGTGCCCAGCTACTACTCATGGGGTCCCGTTACTAAAGGAAGTAAAGGAGACTAAGTATTAGGGACAACTCATTTTTGCAGCAGTGTGTATTTTTCATATATATGTATATATATTTATGTGCATATAGGTAGAAATAGGTCTATATAGAATGTAGAAATGCATAGATAAATAGACTACAGTCTGGAAAAATACATAGACAAAAGTCTAGAAGAAAGTGGTAACTGTAGTTACCTCTGGAGAAAGAGGAGAAGACAGGATGCGGGATATTCATAGCCGACTCCAGCCATAGCTGTAGCGTTTTAATTTTTTTTTTTTTAAGATTTTTATTTATTTATTTGACAGAGAGAGACACAGTGAGAGAGGGAACACAAGCAGGGGGAGTGGGAGAGGGAGAAGCAGGCTTCCCGTGGAGCAGGGAGCCCGACGCGGGGCTCGATCCCAGGACCCTGGGATCATGACCTGAGCTGAAGGCAGATGCTTAACAACCGAGCCACCCAGGCGCCCCTGTAGGGTTTTAATTTTTAACAAGGATAATGTCTTCATGTTTTACTTAAGAAATTAAATATTAATTTAAATCCAAGAGGGCCTGGTGAGCATCTGGCTGCTGATGTTGCAGTCTTGGTCTTATCTTTCTGTGGTGGGACGCAGCACCAGGGTGTGCCAGGAGGTCGCATAGCCCTTTATCTTCAGGAATCTCTGCTGCTGTTGCTGGGGACTCTTGTTTCAGAGGCCCCACCTTCTCAAAGCCTATGTAATTTGCTCGGGATCTCTCTGCCCCATCCTTCCTGTCCCGTTCTGGAGGGTTTCCTTTATTACGAGCAGATTAGTTGAACATAGGACGGTCGAGGAATTCAAAAGGGAGTAAATCGCAGCCTCCCTCTCCACAGATTACTTGTTAATTACAGATAGAAGGCTGGTCACTGTAAATGGAGAAAGCAGTGGGCAGCAAGCAATCAAAGTTAACATCACAGACACTGTGTCCCTCCTGATAGGAGACACTGAGGACACAGCATCACTTTAATGGCATTTCTGTCCCAAATGCATATCCAAAATTCAGTCATGAGGAAATATCTGACAAACCGAGATGGAGGGACATTCTTCAAAACAACTGGACTGAACCCTTTAAAGATGTCCATGTCATGAAAGATGAAGAAAAGTCGAGGAACTGTTGTAGACTAAAGGAGCCTAAAGAGATACGATAATCTGATCATTGTACTATGGACATATAAGAGAATGTCGTGTTCTTTTTTTTTTTTTTTAAGATTTTATTTATTTATTTGACAGAGAGAGACACAGCAAGAGAGGGAACACAAGCAAGGGGAGTGGGAGAGGGAGAAGCAGGCTTCCCGCTGAGCAGGGAGCCTGATGCAGGGCTCGATCCCAGAACCCTGGGATCATGACCTGAGCTGAAGGCAGATGCTTAACCGACTGAGCCACCCAGGCATCCCGAGAATGTCGTGTTCTTAGGAAACATGCACTGAAGTATTTAAGAGTAAAGAAGCATGTTGTCTATGACCAACTCCCAAATGGTTTAGAAAGAAGTAGGCAGGGGTGCCTGGGTGGCTCAGTCGTTAAGCGTCTGCCTTCGGCTCAGGTCATGGTCCCAGGGTCCTGGGATCGAGTCCCACATTGGGCTCCCTGCTCAGCGGGAAGCCTGCTTCTCCCTCTCCCACTCCCCTTGCTTGTGTTCCCTCTCTTGCTGTGTCTCTCTCTGTCAAATAAATAAATAAAATCTTTAAAAAAAAAAAAAAAGAAAGGAGTAGGCAAACCTTTTTTGGCAGAAAGGCTAGGGAATGAGGATTCTAGGCTTCGGCGGGCCATATGGTCCATGTCACAACTACTCACTATGCCACTGCAGAGCCAAAGTGGCCGTGACGGGATGTAAGTGAACGGGTGTGGCTGTGCTCCAGGAAAGCTTATTTATGGATACCGAAATTGCAATTTCATACACTTCTCACGTGTCGTGAAGTAGTCTTCTTTTGATTTTTTTTTTTCAACCAGGCAAAATCCATTTCTAGCGTACTGCCCATACAAAATCTGGTGGCTGGCGATTTGGCCTGTGGGTTGTCGTTCACTGATGCCTGATACAGAAAAAGAACACACACACGGACACACACACACACACACAGGATAAAGCAAATATGTATGGCATGATGCCAACAGTTAGTGAATCTGGGTGAAGGGTATAGGGGGGTTCTTTGTATTCTTCTTAAAATTCTTCAGCAAGTTTGCAATTTTTTTTTTTAAGATTTTATTTATTTATTTGACACAGAGAGAGACAGCGAGAGAGGGAACACAAGCAGGGGGAGTGGGAGAGGGAGAAGCAGGCTTCCCGCCGAGCAGGGAGCCCGATGCGGGGCTCGATCCCAGGACCCTGGGATCATGACCTGAGCCCAAGGCAGTCGCTCAACCAACTGAGCCACCAGGCACCCCTGAAATTATTTAAAAATAAAAAGTTACATGAAAGACATGATTTTCCTCTCCAGGGACCCAGGAAGGAGAGAGTGAGGATGCTGTGCGAATTCAGGGGACCAAGCCTTCTCATCTCGGGGTCAGGGGAGACTTGCTCATAGTGTCCTTTGATGTTGTTCCTAATTGTTATCTGTTCACTTCATTGCCTTCACTTCTTTATTTTCTGGCTTGACTGTCAAATCTAGAGACCCCGCTTGGCAGCTATGAGCATTTAGGCTCTGGTCTCACCCTTTGACCATCCCCTTTTTTTCTCCTCCCTCTGGTAAATACATTTCTCCACCACCCAAGAAAACAGACACTTTAAATCTGTTCATTGGATTTTTTTTTTTTTTAATTTCATGGTCCCTGTCCCTCATATTGTTTCCTCCACATTGTTGGTGCTTGTCTTAGATTATCAGAACTCTAGAGGGAAGGGGCTGTTTCTGAGCATATGGTGTAATGTTCGGGGAGGTGTGCTGGGGCAGCATGATCAAGAAGTTACTGTGTTCATCCTTCTTGCCTTAAGGTGAAGTCTCTTGTATTTCCCCAGGCCTTGTGGCCCTGAATGGTTATTTCCAAAGCCTGGGGTAGGGAGGGCTGGCTTTAAGGGAAGCGATGTGTCCTTTTCTTAGTTGACTTAGCAAGAACTCTCTTCATTGCCAGGATCAGAAACCCAAATCAAACTGGCCTAAGTGAAAAGGAATTTATTAATTCATATCACCAAGAGCATTACATTCAGATCTGGTTAGATCTAAGGGCTGAATTGATGCTGTGAGAATTCTATCTCGTACTGCATTGCAATTCTGTTTTCCTGTTAGGCTTCATTTGTTCAGCAGCCCAGGTGCGCTTTCTACCAGATTAGCAAACCCAGAAGAAGGAGGGCATTTCTAAACCAATACTTCTAAACCAGAGTCCCAGGGCTGACTCTCACTGGCCCAGTTTGAGCCATGTGTCTACCTCTGAATCAGTCAGTGGCTAGGGCATTGGAGGATACTCATTGGCCAGGTGTGGATCACATGACCGCTATTGGCATGGAGACTTAGCCCTACTCAAACCATCTGGACCAAGAAGAGGTTGACAAGAGGTGGCCTCTCAGAGGCATATTTGGTTGCTGTTGCTATTAGGAAGGATGGAACCTGGGTAGGAAAAAAACATTAGTTCCGTACATAAGCACCGTGCCATGCTGCCTTCCTGAATTCCAGTCCTGGTTGTCTAAGCCACATCTTTAGTAGTAGTAGTTGCATCATCTTAGCTGTCAGACTGACTTGCACAGTCACATCCAACTATGAAAAGCGACCCATTCACATTCTCCCATACACCCCGCTTGGGCTCCTCCATCCCTCAGGAAACCCACAGGATCTACAAGCAGAAGCTGGAGGAGCTGACCTCACTCCAGACTTTGTGTAGCAGCTCCATCAACAAGCAGAAGACGCGCCTGAAGGACTTGAAGCATACACTCCAGAGGTAGGCGAGGCTACAGCTCCCTGGGTTTTAAGAGACAGAAACCCAACTCAAAGCTGGCTTAAGCAGAGAATGGAAATTTTAATGGAAAAAAACCAGGAGTAGCTTCAGACATCACTGGATCCAGGGGTCAAAAGGTGTTTTTAGGAATCTGTTTGTTTTTTTTCTCCGCCCCTTCTAAATTCTGCTGTCCTCTAGATTGGCTTCACCCTCAGGCTGACTGTCCCCTTCTGGTCACCGAGATGGCCACCAGCAGTGCCAGACAAATATCTTCCGGACTTACATCCTCCAGCCTTCCTTCCTATTGGTTTAGTTCCACTGACAGAATAACTTGTTTTTCAGTACAAGTTCTGGGTGTGATCCTAATTGGTGGGTATTGGTCACATGGTTATTTGTGAACCAATCACTGAGACTCTGGTTAGGCAAGGCTAGGTCATATGCTTAGTTTTTGGACCTGGGGGATGGGACAGCCTTACTGGAACTATATGGAGGGGGAAAGAGGATGAGAGGTAGTTTCCCAGAGGAAAGTTGTTATAGGTCTTTGGTGTAGGTGGTAGGAAGTCTGGCATCCCCAGGGGGAAATACTTAAGCTCACGACTTTGTTCAGTTCTTGAGGCCAAGATCATAAGTTCACCTCCCAATCCTCATGTCTTCAGGGTTTGGAAAGTGCTCTCATCCCCTATAGGTAGAAGGAGTCCAGTGGATGCTGTGACCCCAGGCAGGCAAGGAGACCGAGGCTCTGAGTGGCTTATCCCAGTTGACTTAGCTAAGTCTCCATACCATAGTGTGTAACTCCTGGTCAATTCTTCCCTTCCCTTGTGGACAATTTCTGCAAACGTTACTGATTATATCCCTAACCTTGGCTGGCCATTTTGGAAATGGAGGTCCATTAGTCATGGGGTAAGAGTGTGGATGGTTCCACGTAATGACATCGCCACTCTTGGAAAAACACATCTTACTGATGGTAAGACTCAACAGTCTTTATCAGTCTAGGATTTTTCAACCCTGGCACTGTTGATAATTCTGCTGCAGGGTCTGTCCTGTGCATTCTAGGATGTTTAGCAGCATCCTTGGCCTCTATCCCCTAGATGCCAGTAGGACCTTCCACCCCCTGTTTGACAAATAAAATGTTCCTAGATGTTGCCAAGTGTCCCCAGTTGAGAACCAATGGGTTAGAAGGTTGACCCATAGAAGACACACCTACTATTCTGAGAGGGTGTCCACTGGCTTGTTTTTCTAGTTTTGAGAGTTAAATATCACCAAGGAAAAACAGACAGTGATCGATCAGTTGGCTGCCAATACTTTTAAAGGCACTTTCCTGTCTGCCCTTCTAGTAATCTTCAGTCTCTTCTTTTAGAAGAGTAAGAAGCATGGTATTGCCTGTAGAAGTCCATTGAGCTCATACTGTGTATCAAGGATCATTCTAAATGTGTTACATTTAGTGTACTCACTTAATCCTCACAACAGTATTGTCCATGAGGTAGGCCTGATGCTACCCCTGTTTTTCAGGTATGGAAAATAAGGCAAAGTGGTGAAAGGACTTTCCCAAGGTCACAAGGCTAGCAGGGACCCAGTGTCAAACCCACAGGGTGCAGAGGGAGAATTGAGGTTGCAAGAAGCATTGAGATAGAAAGTTGGGAGGGCAGTGCCCCGAGCTCCCAGATTCTTCCTCCAGTCTGAGTAACACCCCTGCTTCTCCTATGCCCGCACCTCTGACCAAACAGGTACAAGAACCATGCCAGTCGGGAGGAGGCAGAGCTCATTCAGCAGATGAGTGCCAACATCAAGGAGCGGCAGAACATCTTCTTCGACATGGAGGCCTACCTGCCCAAGAAGAATGGGTAGGAGCTGGAAACCTAGCGCACCCCTGCTGCAGGCAGACGCCCAGGCCTAGAGGGCCTGGTCTGTGTGACTCCCACCTCCCTGCTGGGGCTTGAGGTTGAGGGGAAAGGAGGGAAGCAAGGGCAGGAAAGAGAAGGAGGCTTCCTCATACGTTCCTCCATGGAACAGGAGGTTGATCTCAGCGTGACCTTCCTGGGAGGGCTTGTGCAAGGAACCAGATACAAGATCTGGTTTCCAGCACCTGCCGCATGCCTGGTGCCACCCGAGGTTAAGAGGAAAGGTGTTTTCTCCCAAAGAACAAACATTGATTTATTTTATTTTTATTTTAAATTCCAGTATAGTTAACAGACAGTATTGTATTAGTTTCAGGTGTACAGTAGGCTGATTCAGCACCTCCATACATCACCCAGTGCTCATCACAACAAAGCCCTCCTTCATCCCCATCATCTAGCTCACCTGTCCCTTCACCCCCTCCCCTCTGGTAACCATGAGTTTGTTCTCTGTAGTTAAGAGTCTGTCTCTTGGTTTCTCTCTCTGTCTCTCTCGTTTTCCTTTGAGAACAAACATTTATTGAGTGCCTGCTGTATGCCTAGCATTGTGCTGGGGGCTCTTGAATTGTCTACAGCTTGGTGAGTCAGACCCAGGTGTCCAAATTCTACAAGGTTCAAAGCCATTAGGGGGTGTTTTGCTCAGGTGGCTCAGCCCAGGTTTGGATGTGAACACTCTGACTCCAGAGCTTAAAGGTGCAAATGTTGCTGTGGGTCTGGCTGGATCCTGCTGCTCAAATGATACTGTTAGGCTCGGTCTCTCAGTGAGCTTTCCTTTTACTTCCCTGGCCATGTGTGTCTTGTTCTTAGGGAGACTTTCTCTACAAGCTGGCCCCGGGAGCTCTGGGTTTGCCTTCTGCCGGCTTAACAATTCCAGTAGAGAAAGCCTCTTTGTTTCTTCGTAGTTCTGGGAAAAGTTCCCAGGACTGAGTCTCATTGGCCTGTGACCAGTGTGTCACATGACCATTATTGACCCAATCAGGAGGATGCAGTGCTTTGATTGGCTAAGCCTGGGTCATGTGCCTTACCCTAGGACCTGAGGGGAAAAGAGATTCTCTGAAGGAAAATGGCCCTGCTCTTTCAGGAAGTGGGGACTGTATCTAGCCCAAAAAAAATAGGTAATTCTTTTTACACCTCTACTCCAGTTGCACCAGACCAGAAATGCCCCTAGAATTTATTCAGAGCTAGAAAGAAGACTTTTTTGTTTGCTTTCCTCCTCTCAACCTTCTACTCATCCTTCAAAGCCCAGTTCAAATGTTAGCAACTCAGTGAAGCCTTTCCAAAACCCCTCTCCCTCTGTGGAATTAAACCCTTCCTCCCCCAGATTTCATAACCCTTTACTTGCACCTTTGTTAGTGATGTTAGAGTACAGACTATCGTAACAAAAGCCCAACAATACAGGGGCTCAGACAAGGGGGAGGTTTCTCTTCTCATACACAGCAGTCCAGAGGTGAGTGAACCAAGAGCGGAGGGCTCATGGGGTCATCTAGGGACTCAGGGTCCTTCCAACTCCCAACTTGTTGCTTCACCACCCTTCAGGGAGTTGTCCTCATCTGCATGGCCAAAGCTGGCTCATACTGTCACATCGGCCGGAAGTGGAGGGCAAGCAGATACCTTTTTTTTTTTTTAATTTTTTTTTTTTTTTAAGACTTTATTTATTTGCGAGAGAGAGAATGAGAGACAGAGAGCCTGAGAGGGAGGAGGGTCAGAGGGAGAAGCAGACTCCCCGCCGAGCAGGGAGCCCGATGCGGGACTCGATCCCGGGACTCCAGGATCATGACCTGAGCCGAAGGCAGTCGCTTAACCAACTGAGCCACCCAGGCACCCAAGCAGATACCTTTTTACCAAAAAAAAAAAGTTTGCCATTTCCCAGTGAAGCCAAAAACACACATATTCTATAATCCAGAAATTCCACTCCTGTCTGTGTAGCCAATGGAAATGAGTGCTTCTGCCCTCCAATAGACATGTGTAAGAATGTCGACAGCAAAGAATCCAGACTCAAAAGGCCCCATGTTGCATGAGTCTTTTTGTATGAAATGTCCAGAATAGGCAAATCCATAGATGTAGAGTAGATTAGTGGTTGGCAGGTGCTGGGGGGAGGGAGGAAAGGGAGTGACTGACTGCTGGTGGGTATGTGCTCTATTTTGAGATGATGAAAATGTTCTAGAGTTAAGTAATGGTTGTACAACGTTGTGAATATACTGGAAACCATGAAGTTGGATACTCGAAAAGGGTGATGTTATGGGGGCGCCTGGCTGGCTCAGTCGGAAGAGCATGTGACTTTTCATCCCAGGGTCGTTAGTTCGAACCCCACGTGGGGTGTAGAGATCACTTAAATAAATAAATAAAACTTTAAAAAAAAAAGGGTGATGTTATGGTATGTGAATTACATCTCAGTTAAAAAAAAGAATGTTCACAGCAGAAAGAAGCCAGGCACAAAATATACCGTTAGGTATACCTGTAAATATATTGAAGGTTTTACTTCAGTTTCAAAAAGAACCCTTTTTAAATTGACCTAGAGATTGTACACATGCCTTCACCTCATTGGCTGGAATTTAGTCACATGCTCACATTAGCTGCAAGGGAGCCTGGGAAATATGGTCTCTAAGCCAGCTAAAATGGGGGGAAATGGGTTAGTCATGACTGTCATGGGTCACATTGTTTCATTCTCTAGTTAGTCATTATTCTCCATGTGAGAATTTTACTGCTGAGTTTAGCACCCTGTTTTCTAATATCAGTGCTCAATGCATGCTTATTGTTTGAATGTTTTTGGTTGGGGCCCACTCCAGGGCTGGTAAGGAACGAGTCAGCCCTCACAGATACTTTCCTTCCAGGCTCTACTTAAATCTCGTCCTTGGCAATGTGAATGTGACCCTTCTCAGCAACCAGGCCAAGTAAGTATCTCTGACTCCCACCTGGCTTTAGGGAATCCAGGCATCTTGCTCTTCCAACTCAGGAGAAATGAACCTAGCTAGAATTTTTGCATAAATAAAACAAATTAATAGTTGGGGCTCTGGCTCTTCGTCTTTCTGACACGTTCCTTCTCAGTGGAGGCCACCCTGGGAGGGTTCCTTCTTTTCATGCAGTCAGTACGTTGGGGGAACAGAACTGCCACTTTCCCATGAGAAACAGCCCCTGCTCCATTCCACTGCTTCCGGGAAGTGGGCAGTTCTTCCGGGAAGTGGGCAGTACTGTCCACCTGAAATCAGTCCCAGGGGCAGTAGAGCGTGGTGTTTCTGCTGCAGTAGCTGGTTAGGGAGGAGCACTTCTCCACCCCCTGCGCATCCCCATCACCAGCCCAGAGACCTACACCAGGAGCCCAGGGACGTGGGAAGCTTTGCACATCGGTCCTCTTTCTCTAATTGATCATCACCATTAATTCAAGGCCAGAGCTTTCCTTTAGTGGGATCAGAAGGTTCTTGTGGGCAGTGGCTGGTGGTAGGTGAAGGATCTGATGGGGCTGAGGATTCTATCCCCAGATGGGATATAGTTATATTACTATAACTATAGTAATAGTTATGTGACCTTTCCTGGGGGTGTCTGTCCCCGCAGATTTGCTTACAAGGATGAGTATGAGAAGTTCAAGCTCTACCTGACCATCATCCTGCTCCTGGGCGCTGTGGCGTGTCGATTTGTCCTTCACTACAGGTAACAGGAAGTGTGGTGGTGTGTGTCGGCATGGGGGGGGGTCCTCTCCTGCCTCTGCAATGTTTGGTAGGTTGTAGGTAGAGAAGAGCCTTTTCTCATGCGAAATAGCAGTCCCGTCCACTCGACATCCATCCAACAAATATCTACTGAACAGCTACTGGAGAGACCTTATAACTAGTAGTTAGGAAAGAGCCCAATGGCACACCCACACAATAGAATATTATTCCAATAATAAATAGGAATAAAGCAGTGACACATACTACAACATGGATTCTGAAAACATTATGTTCGGTGAAAGAAGTTAGTCACAAAAGGCCACATATTGTATGATTCCACTTATACGAAACATCCAGAACAGGCAACTCTGTAGAGACAGAAAGCAGATTAGTGGTCAGGAGCTGGGTGGAGGGGAGGTGGGGGTGGGTCCTGTTGATGGGGATGGGGTTTCTTTTGGAGTGAGGAGAATGTTCCAGAATTAGATAGAGGTGATGAATGTACAGCTCTGTGAATACATTAAAAAGTAATGAGTTATACTCTTTGAAAGGATGAATTTTCTGGTATGTGAATTATATATCAATTATAAAAAGAGAAAGAAAGAGAAAGCAAGAAAAAAGGAAAGGAAGAAGGGAAGGAAGAAAAGAAAGAAAGATCACAGACTGCCTGGGTTTGAATCCTGGCTTTGGGACTAACTGGCTGTTACCATGAGCACGTTCCCTCAGGGAGCCTCAGTCTCTCCATCTGTAAAATGAGGGTGACACCAGGCTTTGCTAACAGTGCGTGTGGAGGGCTCTGCCCAGCGCCTGACACCAGCATCAGCCCCTGCTTTTGGAGCAAGAGGGGGCCACGCGGCTCTGAGAGGCTGAGGCCAGTGGGCTCAGGCTGCCTTGCCTCAGGGGGTTTCGTTTCCCCCCCTGGCACTGGGTTTGGGGCCCTGAGGGGAGGCAGCCGGGTACAGCTTGGGCATGTGGCCGGTGTGTCAGGGGTTTATCTCCTGGCAGGTGTTTGCCTGGGAGTCCAGTTTCTGGTCTGGCCACTCGAATGTCCAGACAGAGAAAGGCCCTTTTAGGTCCTGGGCCCGTGCCTGCCTGCTGCCTCGGGCCTGGCCTGTTTCCCCAGAGGGCAGAGCCTGCACACTGCCTGCTCACATGCCTCTCTGGAAGGGATAGACGTTCTGGATGTGCAACCAGATTCCCTTGCGCTGGGACATCTTGGGCCCTCAGGGGGCAAACCTGTGGTGTGTTCTAGTTCTAGTGTGTCAAGTTCTAAAGTTCAGCGACGGCCTGGGTCTTTCAATTTCTCCCCATCCCTTTCTGTATTTATTTCCCGGGGCAGTTGTAACAAAGCACCACGAACTGGATGGCTTGGAACAACAGAAATCTATTTTCTCACAGTTCTAGAGGCCAGAAGTCTGAAATCAAGGTGTTGGTGGGACCATGCTCCCTCTGAAGGCCCTAGGGGAGGATCCGGCCTTGCCTCCTCCAGCCTCCAGGGTGTTCCTTGGTGTTTGTTCCTTGGCGTTCCTTGGCTTAAAGCTGTTTCCCTCCAGTCTCACTCAGCCTCCTGTGCCTTCATCTTGTCAAGTAGCCTCCTGCCGCATGTGTCCCTGTGTTTCTCTCATGGCCTTCTTAGGAGGACACCAGTCTTTGGGTTTAGGGCCCACCCTAACCTGGTATGACCTTATCTTAACTAATTAAATTTGCAAAGACCCTATTTTCAAATAAGGTCATATTCTGAGGCCCTGGGTGGACATGAATTTTGAGGGAACACTAGTATACCTTCTATGGGTTAAAAATAGGACAGGGGAAGGGGGCTGGACGGGCAGCTCATCTCCGTTCTGCCTTCAGGGAAGTTTGCCCTGCTGTTTGACCTTGGGCAAATGGTCTAACCTCTCCCCACCTGGGTTTCTTCACACACAAAACGAGGATAACGAGAGCTACTTGGTAGGATGGCTCAGAGAACCAGATAGGTTCTATTTGCTGTGTTTAGAGTAGTGCCTGGCACGTAAGTGCCATCTGAGTGTGAGCAGTTGTGATTGCTGCCACCATTTTGGGCTGGGCAGGCTGGAAGAGACCACAGCTTAATATCCAGTGCATCCACAGAGCAGGATTCTCTTTCCTTACTCTTGCCCCCTTGGCATGGTTTCCTTGCTGGGTGCCCCACCGAAAGGCCCTTCTCTGGTGCCTGTAAGTCTGGAGCTGGGAATGGCCAATGTCCGTCAGAACCAAGGGTTCTAGGTCCAGCTCTGCCACTCACAGATTGTGTGACCTTGAGTCGAGCCCTTGCTCTCTCTGTGTCTGCTTCCTCATCTTCCCCATGGCCAGAAGACATCTGCCCATGCTGCCTGGTCCTCGGGAAGCTTCGGTGAGGCTGCTGGAGAGTGTGATGCCTCTTTCTTCTGCCTTCAGGCCAGGAGGCTGTGTCTAGTTAGGATTGTCCTCTATCAGGATTGGGTTTTGAAGCTGCAGGGAAACGGGGGTTGGAGTTAAGCTTAGGTTAGTTGGGCTTCGGTTTGGATCTCACTCCTGGGCAGCTCACTTCCCCTCTCTGGGCCTCAGTATCCTCATCTGTAAAATGGGAAGTTGTCCTATCTTGGTGTGTGTTCCCCCAGAGGCAACCCCCAAGACAAGCATTTGAGTGCCCGCAGTTTCTTTGGGAGGTCATCCCAAGAAACATTGGTAGGGGAATGGGAAGTGAGACAGGAGGGGCTCCCCTGTACATATCCGGAGAACTGGGAGACAGCATGGAACATGCCTCAGTTACCCACTAGAGGGGCGAGGGAGCAAGGGTATTTATCTTCCAACTGCTGTTGGTCAGGGGAGCTGAGGACTGCTTCCAGAGGGCATAAATTCCCCTCCCTGCTGCCCTGCCTCTCGCACCAGCAGAATGAGCTCTGGAGGCCTGAGAACTCCAGGCATGCCAGGAATGGCGGGGTCTGGCGTCGGGAGTTATGCAGACGGGCACAGATGTGGAAAGCGCACCTGCCACAGGAAGCAATCCTGTAGGGTTGTTCCGAGGACTCAGAGAGATCGTCCACGTAAAATGCCTGCAGCATTGCAAGTTCCCAGTAATTAGAGCTGGCCTGGCACGGCCTGAGTCACGGTGCCCGAAGAGGTTCGTGTTCTAATCCCCAGAACCTGCGAATGTGTGGACTTCTTTGGCAAAACGCCTCTGCAGATAGATTAAGTGAAGGAACTTGAGAAGAGATCATCCTGGAGTTGGGAGGGTCAGAGTCAGAGAAGGAAACATGATGCCACGAAACAAGGAACACAGGCGCCTCTAGAAGCTGGAGCAGGTCAGCAAGTGGATTCTCCCGAGAGCCTCCAGAAGGAGCCCAGTCCCGCCGGCCCATTTCAGCCTTCCGAGCTCCAGACTGTAAGAGAATAAATGCACGTTGCTTTCAGCCACTAAGTTTGTGGTCTGTTGTTCCAGCAGCAGGGAGCTCATATACCCCGGCAGAGATGGCTGAGGCTGGTACCTCAAGCATGTCCCTAAAGTGCTGGGGCCATAAAACTTTCTTTTTCTTCCCCTCTTTACGGATCAGATGTCGGAAAGGACCAATGAAAAACATCCTGGTCGGGGTGCCTGGGTGGCTTAGTCGTTGGGCGTCTGCCTTCGGCTCAGGTCATGATTCCAGGTCCTGGGATCGAGCCCCACATCGGGCTCCCTGCTCGGCAGGAAGTCTGCTTCTCCCTCTCCCACTCCCACTGCTTGTATTCCCTCTCTTGCTGTGTCTCTCTCTGTCAAATAAGTAAATAAAATCTTTAAAAAAAAAAAAAGAAAAACATCCTGGTCACCACGACTCGCAACTGGGCCTGCCTCCCATCTGGAGGTGAGCTCAGAAGTCGGTGTCTGAGTGACCCTCTGCCCTGGGGAGGCCGTCCCCACCCCAGCACCCCATTCAAGTCAAGTAGGCCTTTGATTTCCTCAGAACTAAGCGTCTGAGACTCATTTCTCAGGCTTTGGATCCTCTGTGATACTTGCCAGAATTCCAACAGGGAATGCAGGTAACCCTTCCTATGCCCCAGGTGCCTCCTGTGGTAAACTCAGCGGATGCTCACAGCAGCTTACACGGGGGCTGTTATCACTCATCACTCTCCCCATTTCAGCACGGGAGGTGATCGCGTGGGAGAATCACTGACTTGCCCCTGGTCCCACAGCTGGGAAGAGGCAGAGCTGGGATTTGGACTCAGGCCCTGTGCTTCCAGTCTGTTCCTGGCCCTCCCAGGGCGATGGTTCCTGGCCCTCTGCAGGCGATGGTTCAAGAGGGCTTGGGGTTGAAAGTCTGTCATCTGTGACCACAAAACAGGGTCACATAGCTTAAAAGACAACCTTCTAACTTCAGCCCTTACTGTTCGAGTCACACCCTTCCATTTCCCTCCCAGGGTTATCATGGTTGTCCCAGTTCAGAGATGGAGACGGAGGAGACGGGGTGTTCTCCGTCCCGGTGCAGACGGATAGCGCCCCGCACAGTGCTGAATGCATCTGTATGGCGCTGGGAAGTACAGAGGCGCTTCCCTTTGGGGGGGAAGCTAGAGCCTCCATTAGAGTCCGCGGCAGGAGAGGCTTCCGAGGGGCTGTCTGTCGTAGGCTCTGTCCCGGGATCCTTCACCCAACCATATTCAGGTGGGGGGTCAGCCTTCGAATCTCAGAGACAGCAAAGCTGAGGCCAGGGAGGTCTCTGACGAGGTCACACGCCGCATGTCTGCCAGCTTTCTGCTCTGACCAGGGTACATCAACAGCTCTAGCCCCTCTGTCCTGTCCTAAGGCCTCTGTGCCCGGCTCTGGGCCGCGGGGACCGTAGAGGAGGCCGGGAGTTCTTCATTCAGCTTACAGACAATTTGGGCCATAAGAATTTTTTTGTAAGTGCAACAAAGTTTATAGATCTTTTAAGGGGATGGAAGGAATTTGCGCTTTGACACTGTGGACAGTTTAAAATACTCAGTTTTCTACTTCAGGTCCTCCTGTTGCCCTTCCACCAAAAATGTTACATCAGACAGTAAGAATTTAGAAGGGAGAGAGGGTGTCGTAGGCCGGGCGCTCAGGGAAGGGGGCGAAACCTCAGCTAGAGCCCTTAAAGGCAAGCAGGATTCTGGTAGAAAGGTGAGGAGGGGACAGGCAGACTAGGTGGCGGCCATGCTTCCTCTCTCTTCCCAGGGATCAGCGGTGTTCCCAGAGGCAGCCTGTGGGGGGCGGCCCTCATCCGTGTTTGCTGTTCTATTGCCCTGTGGGTGGGAGAGCCGTCCCAGGTTCTCATGCGTGCGCTCCTCCCCGGGGCTGTTTCTTTCCACCAGGGTGACGGACGAAGTTTTTAACTTCCTGCTGGTGTGGTATTACTGCACCCTGACAATTCGGGAGAGTATTCTCATCAGCAATGGCTCAAGGTAATTGGGGGCCCAGCTTTGTGGGGGGGCGTTGGGGGAGCCAAAGGGAGATCAGTCATGGAAGGGGATGCAGATGAGGGCTGTCACCCTCAGCCTGTATTCCCTTCCTCCGTGGAGGGGGAGGGGTGTCCCTGACTGTTCAGAGCCAGGGAGGAGGAAAACTGGGTCTCCTGCTGCGGTGTCACCTCCTGTGGTCAGTCTCCTGCTTACCAAAAACTCTAACTCAAAAAGGTTTAACACAACAGGAAATTTGTTTTTTCCTATCAAAGAACAGGTCCGTTGGTGCTGACTTCAGGTCAGGCTTAATCCAGGTGCTTAGACAATGGCACCAGGACCCACTTTTTCTCCACCCCTCACCTCTGCCTTCTGTGCTGTCTTCATTCTCAGGCTCCATGCAGAGGCACCCCAGAGCTCCTAACTTTATTTCTAGCATTCCCAGCAAAATATGGCACCTTGCTGTTTTCCAAGAGTCTCACTGGGTCGCATTGGTACTTGCTGGATCATGTGCCTGTCTCTGAGCCAATCACTGGCCAGAGAATGCACAGCTGTGATTGGTCGGGCTTGAGCCTCATGTCCGCCCCTACAGGCTGTCAGTAGAAGCCCAGGGGCTGAGTGTCAGGAGGGCAGTGGGTGGGTCCCCAGAGGAAAATTGGGATACTGTCATAAGAGGGATGAATGGATTCTGGTGACAAGAGTGGATGATCCCCCACAGGGAGATGGGGAGGACGGAGGACATGTGGTGAGGGTCTTGGTTCAAACCTGCCCTGTTACTCCCGCAGTGCTGAGGAGGAAGACAGCCAGGCTGGGAGTGAGGGTTCCTGAGTTCTAGTCCCTCTGCTGTTCCTGCGCGGCTCTGGAGCCCTGGGCAACTGAAGTCCCCTCTCTGGGCTATTTCACAGTCCCCTGGGGGCGTGTGCCTCCGCGTTCCTGAGTGAATGGAGGCACAATTGGGGGTCCCCACCTCTGAGGGCCTGCAAATACGAGGAGCCCTGCTATTTTGTCATTCTCCTTCCTACGCCACCTGTCTCTGAGCTGAGAGTCTTGGGGCCCAGTTAAGACCACGATTTGCCACCTGCGGGACCCATTTTCCATAGGTCGGATTTCCTTTTTGGGGTAGCTGTTTCATCTCTGTGTACCATGCTTGTCCCTATTTTTCCCTGAAACGAAAGGTAATAACCTCCCAGCCCCTCCCTGCTTCCTCCTTCCTGGACGCTAGTAAGGAACTGTCATGAACTGTGTATTTAAGATTGGGGGTGTCTGCAAACCCCTGAATAATTTGCCACCTTTTCACTTTTCTGCCCAGTGGTCTCTTATGGCAGATCCCTGCCCTGCCGGGCCTTAACCTGAGGTAGAGCCCAGAGGTAAGGACCAGGGGCCCAGCGATTTTTAGGTATGCAGCCCCGTAGCATGTAGCCCGTTAGAAAAGATCAGTGTTTCTCAAACGGCACTCATTCTTGACCCATCCTCGCCATTTTTGCCTTTTCCATGTATCATCTGGATGATAATTCTCACATTTTAAAAATCAACCTCTCCTTTTTTTTTTTTAACTTAAGTAAATACTAGTTTATTTTAAAAGGAAATTTTATTTCATCACCGTACATGGAAAACCAGCATCAGTTGCAGGAAAGAGGAAGTAGTATAAAAATATCCTTTTGTTTTCCTTGTATAAGTATTGAAGTCAGTTATTCTTGCTTCCAGGAGGCTCTGAGCCTGAGGCCTGCTATCTCTGTGTGTGTACGTGTGTGTAAAAAGGGAGATTAGCGGACCTTGAGAGGCATTAAGGAGACTCTTTCCTCGACTTAATCAGGAGAATAAAGAACTGAACCAGTGACCTCTTGCCACATGGTTCAGTATCATCTAGTGTTACACTCGAGTGTCATCTAAAAGTTGGTGGTACCCACCGCATGCTTTGGGAAACACTGAAGTAGAAAATCTTACGAAATAAATAACATTCATCGTCTTTCTTAATTTTAGTGAATAGTATCTTTCTGCTTTTGGGTGTCGTTGGAGGGGAGCCAGGGTGGTAGGTAGTAGGGAAAGAGGGCCAGGGTAAGTGGCAAGGCCTCCTTGTTATGAACTCTCTTCTGTTCCCATGGGCTTGCTGTCAGCCTTACAGTTTCATCCTTCTGATGGACTCATTAAGAGTCTTCAGAGGCATGCTACATCTCTAACAGTCACTAACACTTAGAGTTACTCTGGTCAGCTCTTTATCTAGTGTAACAAGCTGTGGATGGGGGGTGGGTGGGTTACCAGAGGGAAGGGAACAGGACTGAGTGGAGGTCCCTGCAAGTGTGGGGCATACCAGGAAAGTGGGGAGGGGGACACGAAGGGGTAGAAGTGGGGTTCCAAAGCCAGGCTTCATTTGCGTAACACTTCAACTGGTATCTCAAGTTGAAATGAGATTTCATTTCACTGTTCCTCCATGCCTATCTATCTCCCTGCTCTGGCTTGGGGCAGGGGTTTGGATGTGGTGGGGGCTGGGGTCTGGAATGGGTGGGGTAGGCTTGGTGCTTTATCTTCTGGAATGAGTGGGAGCTGTAGCGCATTAGCTTAGTGCAATAAGCAAATCAAGTTCCCTTGCAAATCCTGCAAATGAGGGAAACTACTGGATAGGAGTAAACATGAAGGGGGAACAAGGCATACCTTGTCTAACTGCACTATGAAGATACTGTGTTGTTTTTTTTTTACAAATTGAAGGTCTCTGACAACCTTGTGTCGAGCAGGTCTATTGGCGCCATTTTCCCAACAGCATGTGCTCATTTTGTGTCTCTGTCACATTTTGGTAATTCTTGCAGTATTTCGAACTTCTTCATTATTATATTTGTTATAGTGGTCTGTGATCAGTGATTACAATTTGCTGAAAGCTCAGATGATGGTTAACATTTTTTTTGGCACTATATATATATATATATATTTTTTTTTTTAAAGATTTTATTTATTTAACAGAAACAGTGAGAGAGGGAACACAAGCAGGGGGAGTGGGAGAGGAAGAAGCAGGCTTAGCGACTGAGCCACCCAGGCGCCCCGTTTAGCACTATATTTTTAAATTAAGGTATGTACGTTGTTTTTCTAGAACTGCTATCTCATACTAACTTCAGAGGCACTGGAAAACCAAAAACTTCATTCGACTTGCTTTATTGCGACATTCGCTTTATTGCAGTGCCCTGAAAGTGAACCCACAATATCTCTGAAGTATGCCTGTATATCAACGATGGTTCAAGGAGGTGAAAAGGGCTCACACAGGGGCACCTGGGTGGCTCAGTCATTAAGCGTCTGCCTTCGGCTCAGGTCATGATCCCAGGGTCCTGGGATCGAGCCCCGCATCGGGCTCCCTGCTCGGCGGGGAGCCTGCTTCTCCCTCTCCCATTCCCCCTGCTTGTGTTCCCTCTCTCGCTGTGTCTCTCTGTCAAATAAATAAAATCTTAAAAAAAAGGGGGGGTGGGGCTCACACAATGCCAACAGCCCTCCTCCCTGATCTCTTACCCCCTGGAAGCACTGGCTTCCATCAGCCTAGACTAGGATCCCGCCAGATCGATAGTCTCACAGGAGAGAGCGCTTGCCTTCGCAGATCCAGTTTTTGTAATTTTGAGACAGATTTCTGATTGGCTCGGCTGAGGTCACATGCTTGTCCCTGAGCCAATCAGTGTGGCTGGGGGATGCAGAGCCCTGATAGGCTGGCTCCGAGTCACGTGCCCAGTTATATCACTCCGCTTCCCCCTCAGCCACCCAGATTGAGTGTGGGGATGATGAGGTGGTTCACCCAAAGAAAGGCCTGGCGTGCAACCAGAATGTGGGGGGTGGAGAGGGGGTGGGGTGATTGACAGAGAGGCAAAACAGCAGATGTCCTCTACAGTTAGTTCTGGGCCAGAATAAATAATGAATCAGGGATCGCGTTAGCTTTTCTGGCCAGCCAGCCCATGGGTGCCTGCTTCCAACTGGCTGTTATAGGGGACTTTGCTCAGATAAAGCCGTGTAGGGCTGTCCAGGAGGAAGGGAGCCTCAGTGTGGAAGCCATTCCCCCACCTGCCCACGTGACCCGGAGCTCAAAGCCGGAGACAGCCTGTGGTTGCTGGTGCCTGTGAGTGGTACCCACATGCAAACGTGGCCAAGGTGTCCTGAAAGAAGGGCCGTGGTATCCTCGGCACGATTCCCAGATACCAGGCCACGCTAGTCCTACACTGTGGCTGTGTGTGCACCACTCTTCATTGCGTATCTCCTGCCTGCTCATTAAAATGCCCATAGGCCCTGCAAGCTTTATTTCCGTGGCAAAGCAGGCCCAAAGAGTGACCACTAATGGGTCCAAGTTTCTTTTGGGGTGATAAAAAAATGTCCTAAAACTGATAGTGGTCATGGTTGTACAACTCTGCAAATATACTAAAAGCCGCTGATGTGTATACTTTAAATGGGGGAATTGTATGATATTTGAATTAAGTTACAGTAAAAGGATTGCATAAACACATGTGCACAAAACCAGCCCAGCACCCTGCAGTGTGCAGATGGATGAGGGGGCTCGAGAGCCATGCCAGGGAAGAAGCAATTTCTAGCCTTTCCTAGTGCCGCTGAGCTGTGCTTATTGGGGGCATCTGTCAGAGCTGGGCTCTGGGCACTATGAGCTGTGAAATGAAAAGCGGCTGCTCAGCCAGGCTTGCTGCACAGATCCCGCGTCTGGCTCTGGCCGCTCCCACGTGGGGAGGGGGCATTTGTCAGGGGGGCTTTGGGGAGTAGGACAGAGGAGCACGGCGTTTGCCAAAGCCCCAGGGCTTATGTGTGGCTGTGCAGAGAACTTGGGGGAAGTGATTGCAGAGAGGCTTCTTGGGTGCTCTTCAAGCTGAAGGTCTGAGGATGGGGCTAACTGCCTCTTCTGGCAGAAAATTAGAGCCAGGGGTCCTTGTAGACATTGACAGGCAACCCAGGGACATGGGGAGGGGGAGACTGGGATCAGAGAAGTGGGTGGATGTCTTACCCTGTCCCTCTATTGCTGGTGGCATCTAGACCAGCTGCTGCTTCATCAGCCACACCTCCTGGACATCATTTTAGCATTTATTGAGTGCCTACTGTTTACCGGGTGCTGTTAGTGCTAGGAATAAAGAGCCACGTAAAACCTTGTTCCTCACCATAACCCTTGAGGCATACACAGGCCATGCCGGAACCCCTAATTTATGTCCAGATTTATTGTGGGATTGCAAAGAGGAGAGATGAGTAAGATCCAGTCTCTGCTTGTGTGATGTCTGCATTCTGGTTGGAACCCACTTAGGACAATGCAAATTAAAACCTCAACAACACACCGATTTTCACCTAATAAGACTGGCAGAAATTTTAAAACTTGGAATCCAGTGCTGGTGAGGGCTTGGGGAACCCAGTTTCTACTGCCCAGTCGTTGGGATGAAGGAGCCCCACTGCTCCTAGGCTGTACTTGGCAAAGCAAATCGCTGCCACATTGTGTTCAGGTAACTGAGCTCCGAGACGGGGCTGGAGAAGGCCAGCAGAGGCCAGAGACAGACTCAAGGACTTTGAAGGGTAAAGGTTGGAGGGTCCAGCTTTCAGCGGAGGCTGGGATGCTGACACTGAGGAGCGGGTGACAACGAGGCTCCCTCCCCTGCAATGGAGTGACAGCCCTCAGTTGGGGGAGTACTGGGTTCTGAAACCAGGGTTCCCACAGCTTCTGGACTGGACACAGGAAGTCCAGGGCTGGGCAAGGGCCTGCTGTAGATGGAGGAACAGATGAGCCCGGGGGGTGTGGGCTCCCAGGGAGAAAGTGCGTCTGGGATGCTGAGATGCTGTGTGGGCAGTCTGGCATTTCTCTGTGTCCGTGTGGGGTAACGGAGGTAGCTGCAGCTCCGGGTGAGCATGAGTGTGTGTCTGTGTGTGCATGTGTGTGCATGCTGTGTTTATTCAACACACTTATTGAGCACCTGCTTTGAGCCAGGTGTCACAGATAACATCGATGAAGAACACAGACAAGATCCCTGCTCTCCTGATGTTTACGTGTGAGCGGGGAAGAGGGTTCAGAGAACAAAGGAAGGGGAAGAAATGAATAATTTCAGATAGTGGTAAGCACCATGAAGAAAATAAAACAGTAGTGTGACTCCGAGTGGGGCTGCCTGACTGTTTTCGATAAAGTAGCCGGAGAAGGCCTTTTGGAGGAGGTGACAGTTGGTCCAAAACTTGAATTTGGACCACGAGCCAGGCAGGCCAAGTTCTCGGAGCAGAGAGAACAGCAAGTCCAAAGGCCCCGCTGGTCTGCGTGGGCTGCCGTGACAAAATACCACAGGCTCGGGGGCTGGAACAATAGAAATCTATTTTCTCACGGTTCTGGAGGCTGGAAGTCCAAAATCAAGGTGCCAGCCCCACTGGTTTCTCCTGAGGCCTCTCCTCGGCCTGCAGATGCCACCGGATCTTCATGGGGCCTTTTTTCTTATGATCTCATTTAACCTTACTTACCTCTGTAAAGTTCCCATCTCCAAATACAGTCACATTCTAAGGTACTAGCCCTAAGGGGTTAGGACTACAACATAGGAATTCGGGGGGCACACAATTCAGCCCATAACAGGCCCTGAGGTAGCAATGGGCTTGGCAGGTTCAAGGCGAGGGCAGGGTGACAGGACTTCAAGTTGGGGTGCGGTGAGGGATGTGCTTTTAGGGTAGCAGGAAGCCCCTGGAGGCCCGTGTGCCTCTGTGGGCCTCATGGCTAATCTGCGGGTGGTTTATGTGTGATTGTGCGTCTCTGGAGGACAGAGGAAAGGGCGAAATCATGGCTTGGGTCTATGTCATGGCTGTTCTGGGGCCACAGAGTAGCCCATGCATACATAGTCTGGGAAGCAAGAACCACCCATTTCCCTCCCCACCTGAGCTCCCTTTCCTTCTCTTCTCTCCAAGAATTAAAGGCTGGTGGGTGTCTCACCACTATGTGTCCACGTTCCTCTCTGGAGTGATGCTGACCTGGTGAGTGTCTCATGGGGGCCCGTGAATGGGGAGCTGGCCGTGGGCGAGGGGGTGCCCTCGAGGCTCCTGGCCTGGGCTGACATTTGGGCCAAGAAGAAAAGGGTGAGCTTACAGCCAGGCCGCAGTCAGCTGGGAGGTTTCTGGGGATGTCCCATTGGCCCACCGGCTGGGATAGAGGTGACAGAGAGCAATGGACAGAAAGAGTACAAGGATGAGGGTCCAAAGGAGACAGATGGAGAGAGTGGGCATCAGCAAGAATTTAGGCTTCAGAATGATGATTACAGGCCCCCGTGCTTCTAGAATGGGCTTAAAGAAATGAAAGTAACTGGTCCAGCCCCAGGGGCACTTGTGCTAAGGAAGGGCAGAAATCAGGGACCTCCATTTCATTTTAAAAGCTTTTCTTCTCGGGGTGCCTGGCTGGCTCACTCCATGGAGCATGCAACTCTTGATCTCGGGGTCGTGAGTTTGAGCCCCACTTTGGGTGTAGAGATTACTTAAATAAATTTTTTTTTTTTAATAGCTTTTCTTCTCTCTTGGCTGGAATGGAGAGGGGCAGGGATGAATGTTTGTTTTCACAGCACACTTCACTTTTACTTTTCCCCACTTCTCTGCAGGCCCAACGGACTAATTTATCAGAAGTTTCGTAATCAGTTTTTAGCGTTTTCCATTTTTCAGAGTGAGTGCCTCTTGCCTCAATTTGGGGGAGGGGGCATGTTTCCCTGGGCTTTCACTGATGGAGGCCCCTGTCATCCCTCCTCCTTTGTGAGGGGTGTGTCTAGTGTGGAAGGGAGCTTGGGGCAGGGGAGGGTCCCAGAAATCCAGCAAAGAGCTGCCTGCCCCCAGATCACCGCCCAGCCCTGGGGGAGGGGCAGCCTGATCACCCCCACCGCCAGGAGGCCCCATCACTGCCTTTTCTTTCCCATGTCACAGCTGGGGACCAATGGTGACTTTTGGGAACTGAGTAGTGTTGGGGGCACTACCTCAAAATGGAAATAGAGCATATGTTCTTTTTCTCATTTAAGAATAGCTCTGGATTGGGGCTCCTGACTGGCTTAGTCGGTAGAGCAAGCAACTCTTGATCTTGGGGTTGTAAGTTCAAGCCCCACATTGGGTGTAGAGGTTGCTTAAAAATAAAATCTTAAAAAAAAAAAAGTAATAATAGCTCTGGATTTATATACCGTGAACTGGTCCTAGGGGTCCCCTCTGAGAAGGGGGAGCTTGGATAGTTGGGGATAAGGACAGAGAGAGAGTTTTTTTACCAAGTACTTGTTTGTTCCCTTTGAATTTTGTGTGCATATTACTGATTCAAAAAATAAAATTTTTAAATAAAACCCTGCCAACAAATACAAATCTCTAATGCCAAGAATGAAAATTATATATAATCTCACCCTTAGGGGTGATCACTGTTAATAGATCTATGTCCTTTCAGTTTGATTCATATATACGTACATACTGCATTATGTAGTCTATAAATATGGGATCACTTTGTACAAATAGCTTTGCTTACAATCTGTTTATTTTTCTTTTAACAATAATGATGGGTATTTTTCTATGTCAATACACAGAATTCTACCTGCTCATTTTTAGTAACTACTAAGTATCCCATTGTATGAAAGTGTCTCTTGCTGTCTTGGCATTACACACAGCTCCCCGCATGGTGCCACCATCCCAGCAAGCATCTGCTCTAGAAGTTTCTAATCTCATTGCTGTTTAGTTGGGTCTTCAGATAACCTACTCTCGTTGTATTCTGGATAAGGGATAAAGTGGGTTCAGGCTGAAGAGTGTGTGTATGTGTGTGTGTGTGTGTGTGTGTGTTGGGGTGAGAGAGGGTTGCCCTCTGGGCCGTGAAGACCCCTGGGTCTGCGCGGAGGTGGCGCCCAGTCCTCCAGGCCCTGAGCCAGGCGCTGTGCTCCCCCTGCAGGCTGTGTCCAGTTCCTGCAATATTATTACCAGAGGGGCTGCCTCTACAGACTTCGTGCCCTGGGGGAGAGGAATCATCTGGACCTCACCGTGGGTGAGTAACCCAGCCTGGGGAGGGGAGGGGAGGTGGGGGACAAGTACCGGCCCCTCCCTGCTCCCCCAGACCTCACTGCTAACTCCCTACACTGGGAGAATGAGCCAGTAAGAACATACAAGACCTACCACACACAAAGCCAGGGCTGCAGGCCTCTACCTAAGTTGCTTTTCATAATTCATCGTGGATTCTGTTTCAGCCAACAAGCTTGAGGCCAGCTGTGAGCCAGGCCTCGATGCTGGCTTCTGTTTTATCCTTTTTCAATGTCTATTTTTTTGGTCTGTGTTTTATAATACACATAATTATATATGCATAAATATATATGCATGTTGTGCGTGTATAACTTAATATAGGGGCGCTGGGGTGGCTCAGTCTGTTAAGCATCTGACTCTTGATCTCAGCTCAGTTCTTGATCTTAGGGTCATGAGTTCAAGCCTCGAGTTGGGCTCTATGCTGGGCGTGGAGCCTACTTAAAAAAATAATAATATGGCTACGTATAAATATGTATAGATACATACATGTATATACATTGGGAATGTGTGCTTAACTATTTTTAATTTATATATATGTATACATATATATATATTTTTTTTTTTAGAGAGAGAGAGAGCAAGAGAACGTGGTGGGGAGGGTCAGAGGGAGAGAGAGAAAATCTTTTTTTTTTAAAGATTTTATTTATTTTACTTGACAGAGAGAGACACAGAGAGAGAGGGAACACAAGCAGTGGGGAGTGGGAGAGGGAGAAGCAGGCTTCCTGAGGAGTAGGGGGCCCGATGCGGGGCTCGATCCCGGGACCCTGAGATCATGACCTGAGCCGAAGGCAGACGCTTAACGACTGAGCCACCCAGGCGCCCCAAGGAGAGAGAAAATCTTGAGCAGGCTGCGCCCTCAGCTTGGAGCCCGACTTGGGGTTCAATCTCAAGACCCCGAGATCATGACCTGAGCCGAAATCAAGAGTCGGACACTTAACCGACTAAGCCACCCAAGTACCCCTGTGCTTAACTTTTTTTAACTCATGGGTCAAGCGCCCAGTCAGAAGAGCTTGGAGAGCTCTTGTCTCAACTTTCACAGGAAACTAATAAAATTCTGCCATCTTTTGAGATGGTCATTTCTACTGAATTACTCTGCAAAGTAGGCCCTACTTTGTCAAGACTCAATTGAATTGATACGTGCAAAAGTCCATTATAAAAAGCAAAATCCCATGCAAATTAAAGACATTATTAACAACCAGTGCCAGGCACGTCAGCTTTCTGTAACTGTTGTCAAGCCCTATGAGTTCGTGGTGACTTGAGGCGTGAGAGCAGTCAGGGCCCGTGACAGGTGTTGTGCATGCTCTCTGGGTGATCTTCAGAGTTGAGTGCTCACCCACTGATGATAGGTGAGGCTGTCCCCCCTGCCCCATGTGGCTAATCTCGGGGGACTGGCATGGCTAGGCAGTGGACACTTGGTGGGGCGGTGGGGGCACCTGAACCCCCTCCCACTGGCCCTTTGCTTCCTCCTCTCCACAGAAGGATTCCAGTCCTGGATGTGGCGGGGCCTCACCTTCCTCCTGCCTTTCCTGTTCTGTGGTCATGTGAGTCCCCTGGAGTTTGTGGGGATCCCCTGTTCTGGGCTGACCCCTGGGAACAAAAGGTCTTCAGGCCTCTCCTCATTCACCAGCCATCCCTGAGCTGGGCCCCACGGGGTCCGGGGGCAGAGACGGCCCCTCGGCCCTGGGACACCAAAGGCAGGAGCCGGAAGTGGCCCGTAGCACCAGCATGCAGAACCCCAGATCTCCAGGCTGCTCTGGCCTAGGGTGCCCCAGTTTCATTTTAGGGGGCTCTCAGTGTCTTAGGACAGTGGATACCAGAAGCTGGGGGGCCTGGTCCACTCCCGGGGCTTCCTCACGTGGGTCTCCGGGGGAATCAGTTGGAGTAAGTGGTGCCTGCCTCCCCTCTTTCCAGTTCTGGCAGCTCTACAATGCCGTCACGTTGTTTGAGTTCTCCAGCCACGAGGAATGCAGAGAATGGCAGGTATGGTGGTGTGTGTGTGTGTGTGCTTGTGCTTGTGCCTGTGGTGCAGGCGGGGGGTCCTGGGGAGAGCTGGGCCAGCTTGGAGAGAAGTCTTTCCTCAACCACCCGTTTACTCCCCACCATGGGGCCCAGTGCCCAGAGCTCCCGGCTACTGGGGCCTGGGAGACTGTGGCAGGGAATTCGGGAAGCCAGGGAGCCCCTAAGTGGTCTGAGAACCCTACTGAACGCTATGGGGTTGCCAAAGGAGAAGCCCTCCCGGGCCCTGTGTGACCCTGAGGACTCACACCCTTCACGCAGTTGGCCCAGACCTCTGCTTTCTGCCGTGGGAACTCTGCAGTTTGCTGGTGGCTTGTGCTAAGGGGCTTGTGAGGTCACAGGGCGGGGGGGGGGGTGTTGGGCAGGGGGGCATCTCGGCGGGTTGCTGATCGGAGCTGGCTCAACCTTTTCTTCCTTTCCTCTCCCCCCCCCGCCCACCACCCCGGCCGGTCTCCTCGCACGCCCCTGCCCAGGTGTTCGTGTTGGCGCTCACATTCCTCGTCCTCTTCCTGGGCAATTTCCTGACCACACTCAAAGTCGTGCACACGAAACTTCAGAAGAACAGAAACAAGGGGAAGAAGCTGTGAGCCAAGGGACCCGTGCGCCCCCCCAGCCCCCCGGGGTTCAAGACTGCGGGGGGGTTCAGCTGGCACGATTCCTCCCCACGGTGTCGGCGGCCACAGCCAGCAGCCTGCCCAGGGGCCAGCGCGGGGCTGGGGGTGGCCAAGGCCCCGGTCCCCGGCGGACGAGGGCAACGTGACCCCTGCCTGTCCGCACGGCCTTCGCCCGCCCCAGCCTCCCCTGTTCATGACGTATTACTGCGGGCTCCTCCCGACTGCCCGAGAACCTGCAGTCTTCCCTCGCTGCCGTCTTGGCTGCGGCTGAGCCTGGGTCAGTCTTCCTGGGGTGGGGGTGGGGGGGCCTAAAGCCTCAGGGAGCCCCTCAGGTTGGGGTCTGGGGTGCCCACCGGCTACTTCCTGATCCCCAGCGGGCGGAAGGAAACCCCTCGGCGGCCTGTGGAGCCTCCCGCCCCGGGCACACCGCTTCTGCTGTAAGCTCTCCACGCTGCTGCGGGGTGGGGCTATTTAAGGTCTCGGAGAACCACCGTCTGTCTGTGCCTTGTGCTCTTTGCGCTCCCCAAGGCTCCAGCCTGCCGGCCACCTGCACACAGCTGCCCTCCCTCCCCGACGGCGGCCCCCGGGGTGGGCCCGAGGCGCGAGGGTTTGCAGTGACCACCAGAGGACGCCCCAGCCTCGCCATCCCTGGGGTGGTTTGAGGGCTTTTTTTTTTTTTTTTTTTTTTTTTTTGACACTTGAGAGTTTGGCTTCCTGACCCCCACCCCTCAGCCCACTTCCCGGAATTCTTGCATTGAGTTCTCAGAGAGTGGGTCTGCAGCGCTGGCTGAGACTTAAGGCCCATCCTCCCCGCCTCCCTCCCTTCCCCTCAGGTTCTGGAATGTGGTGGGGAGAGTCTGAGCAGGCTCCCTTCCAGGAGGTGGCACTTGAGAGGCCAGGACAAGCCTGCTGGTCACCTTGTGTCCGATTCTGTATTTGTGGGGAGGGTGAAGAAGCTAGCAGATTTGGTTGAATGTTCTGCCCCTGCTCCCTACACCGGCCGCAGCCTTTCTCCCACACATGGGTCTCAGCTGCCCTTAACTACCTCCCTACAAATCCCCTCTGGCCAGAGTTCACAGCTCGCATCCATAGTCATGCTTTGGCCCCTGGAGGAGTTGAAGCTTTTTTAATTGTTAATTTTTAAAAATATGAAATTTCCCTTCCACCCCAGTAAGAGTCGACATAAAAACCCAGATTTCTACTTTCCCTAGAAAAATGGAAAGCTCTTGGTGGGCTGAGCTGCCTGCCTAGGATGGGGTGCTTGCTTTCTAGTGTGCCACAGACCCCACCACTCCCTTTTATACCTGTCCTCTTTCACTCATTTGGGTCCTTCATCGGGCCCTGAGGCACCTGGGTTTTCCCTGGACTAGGAATCGGCGAACTTTCTGTAGAGGGCCAGATAATCCGTCACAGTTTGCCTCGTCTGCAGTGGTAGGGCCAAGGCAGCCAATGCCTAAATAAATGAGTGTGGCTGTGTCCCAACGAAACTTTATTTACAAAAACACACAGCTGCCAGATTTGGTCCACAGAGTATGGTTCCTAACCTCTCTCCTGTACCATCACTTGTCCATGAGGCCTTGGACTGAGTGCTCTTTTGACTCCCCAGGGCATGGCAGGGCCTTGGGGAACCAGGGTGGGGTGAGGTGGGATGGGGTGGAACACAGGCGTCTCTCTCTAGCAGCTGACGTCAGAGAGGCTCAGGCTTAGTGGGAGCTGAGGCAGGAGATCCTGGGAGGGCAGGAGCCACCTCAAGCCATTATCCCAGGTTCAGTGATACTGACTTGTAGCTCACTCAGGAAGCAAGCAGCTCTCAATCTCTGGGGCAGCGGCATCACCTGGAGCACTTGTTTAAAAACTCCTGGCCGCAGAAGGTTCAGTGAATCTGCAGCTGGGGGTTGCGTGTTTTCGTAGGAAGCCAGGATAGTCTCAGCTTGGCAGAAGTGGGGGCTGTGAGGGACAGGAGGGCGTGATGACTATTAAAATGAGTCAGTGCTGTCCTTTTGCAGAGAGGGAAACAGTCTGTAGAGAGAAGTGACTTGCCCATGATCATTCGGGGCTGATGTCACTTTTCGTCTTGAGTTTCCGGCAGTGGGGGGTTGCAGGTGAGGAGCCCCTGATGGGTCTGGGGTACTTTTTGCTTCTCGAGAGAGTCTCTTCTCCCCCTTGGGCATGTGCACCCAGCTCTGGAAAGATGGCAGCCCGGCCGAAGGCTGAGACTGAAGTCCTCTGTGGGTGAGGGGTGGGGGCCGGTGGCAGCCCCCATGTCCGGGGCTGGCGCGTGCGCTGTCCCGATAAGTCCCCGTCCCATTGTGGCCCCCACGTTCCTGGAGGAAGGAAGCCAGAAGCTGGAGGATGCAGCCGTGCCTATCTCGAGCCCAGGGAGGCGGGTGACGCAGAGTAGCGGGCTTGAGGGGGGCCGTGTGGAGCGCTGACAAATCCACATTTTTATCCACGTACCAGATGTAGTTGTTTGTCTCAAGCACAGGCTTTCAGGACCTACCGGGTGTGCAAAGGGGGACACACATGGCTGGGGGGCGGCTGTGTACTCCTGAGTCCTACAGACAAATGCTGGTTCTAGGGTACAGAGAGACTGAATCCGGCACCCTCACCCCTCCCCCAAGCAGGCTCAGCTCCCAGGGGAACCTGGAGGTGAGTTCATGGTCAGAGCCCAGCTGGGGAAGGAGAGATCTCCAGAATGTTCTAAGAGTCTAGCCACAGGCTCCAGACACAGGGAGACACCCAACTCAAAGTGCCGCTGGGAAGCTGGGGACGGAGCAGGATCTCGGGGTGCAGTCCGGGCCTGGCAGCCTGGGCCCTGTCAGTCTTGCATGAGGGCTATGTGCCCTGCCTGGGGGGCTCAGAGCAGCAAACACAACGGGCGTTTCTGCCGCTGTGCTTTCTTCAGAGCACTGAGGGCAACCTTGGCTGCTGCTCGGAAGACGTCCTCCACGTTCTCCCGAAACTTGGCAGAACATTCCAGGTAGAGGGCGGCTCGGATCTGTTCGCAGGCACTCTGGCCCTGGGGAGGGGGAAGGGGCCGGCATTAGATGAGGGGCCTGGAGCATGGGGCACCTCCTGACACCCCCCCATGGATTTGGGAACTTGGAGCTGGCTTTGGGGGCTCTCCGAGGGGAGGGTGGTCTTGGTGCGGAGCCCCCATCCCCGGCCCAGCCCCCAGCAGTGTGTGTGGATGGAACGGAAGGGCCTGCGGTGCAGCCCAGGGGCTCCGGCGGTGGCAGCTGAGAGAAGCCCCATCCTGCCTCTACCCTGCCCCCCTCTCCCACTTCAGGCCCCGTTTAGGCAATGGAACTGGTGAGGACAGTAAAAACTAGCTCTACTTCTAAAATTTACTTTTATTAACGCTTCTTCTTTTTTATTAAACTTATTAGTTTTCCTTTGTGTTCCTTTTATTGTCCCATGCCTCGCCCAGAAAAGCCGCGGGGTTTGGTTTTGCCCATGACTCTCACGGGGAGGGGAGCCCTGCTCTCGAGCAAGGCCTGCCCCTCCAGTCCCCTGGGGCAGACGAGACAGGATCCTGGCTACGCTGCACATTAGCTGTGTGACTCTCAACCTCCACTTCACCCCTCTGGGTCTCAGGTTCTCCCCTGTAAAACAGGGGATGCGAACAGTCCGCGCCTCAGGGTTATAAGGATGAAATGAGGTAGGGAAGCAGAGGATGGGGGAGAGCGGAGACCCCTTCCTGACCTGCATGTAGGTGATGGGCTCCAGCTGGGCGGCCCGGAGCTTCCGAAGCTGCTCCTTGTCTTTGCGCAGGTCTGTCTTGCAGCCAATGAGCACCATGGGGGTCCCACGGCAGAAATGTGTGACCTCAGGGAACCACTGCGGCGGGAGAGGGCAGGCGTCAGGGCTGAGGCCAGATCCGTGGCCCCCCCCCCCCCAAGGCAGGCTGGCTGGGTCACGGGCCTCACCTTGATGAGGACATTGTCATAGCTGGTGGGGTTCATGACGTCATAGCAGATGAGCACGAGGTGGGTGTTCTGGTAGGACAGGGGCCGCAGCCGGTCATAATCTTCCTGCCCTGAAATGGGAGAGGAGGTAGGGGTCAGGGAGGCACCACCCCCTTGTCCACCTGAGTCCCCTGTCTGGGCTCTGTCTCCAAGGCCTCGGTTTGCTCATCTGTAAAACAGACATGGCAGCCCACAGTAGCAAAAGTTCCAGGAGATAAAACCCATGCGGTGCTCAGAACCGGGTCTGATTACAGGGTAATCAGGAGAAGCTGGAGAACCTGCTAGCAATTACGTCCGTGGCAATTCCTGCCTATCCCCACCCCGCCCCGGGCCAAATCAACTCCCCTCCGGGAAGAAGGTTGGGGGGCGCTGGGGGGGGACTAGGCCACTGCAGGATCTGGGAGGGGACCCCCAGGCCGAGAGGCGGGGCCTTGGGTTGAATTCCTCCTGCCCTTCAGGCAAACCCCAGGAGGAGAGTGGTGGGGGGGCCGAGCACAGCTGCTGTCAGGCTCACCTGGGGAGTCGGCTGGTGCTCGGACCCCCCCCTGCACTGACTGAATCAGACGCCAAGGCTGGGTGTGGTTTTTTAGTGCTTTTTAGTAATTTTTTTAACTGACAATTTCAAACTTAGAGAAAAGTTGCCAAAAGGGTGCCAAGAACTCCCTCAGATTCCTGAGTATTTACATTTTGCCCCACTTGCCCTTTGTACACGTAAACACTTGAGCAGGTCAGAGTCCCTGAACACATCCTGCGGCCTCACCCCAGCACAGTCCTTGCGGATTTCTAAGAACAGGCGTGTTCTATCACCTCCCGTAGAACAACTAGCAAGCTGGAGCAAGCACCATGGACGCCGGGCTCTAACCCAACCCACGGGCCGCACTCAGATCTCAGCGGTGATGTCCTGTGGTCGTTCTGCCCCAGTCCAGAAGCAGGCCCAGGATTATGCCCTGCCCTGGTATGCCCTAGTATTATTTAAAAACTCCCCCAGTGAGAACTGAGAGCCTTTTGGGCTCCCTGGCAGCTCTCCAGCTGCCTCTGCAAAGGCAGAAAGGTGACTTTCTTCCAGGGCCTGGAACACAGAGGCCCAGGAGTCCCCTGCCCCTCCCCCTAACCTGGGGGTGCCTGGGTGCCAGCCTGCCCTCCTGCTCCCTCCCTGCCAAAGCTGGCCTCTTCATTGAGCAAGGACAGGCCACATCCTCGTCCTCCTGGCCCCCACCTGCTGCCGGGGACACTGCCACGCTCTGCCTTCCCCCTGGCTGTCCCTCAATCCGGGACCCCTGCGGTGTGCAGTGTGACCGGGACTCACAGCTAGGACGAAGGCTGGGCCAGGAGGACTCCATGCTCCATTCAGCCAGAGTCCCCCCAACACTGTGGAAGGAGTGAGGGCTGTCAGGGCCTGGCCGACTCAGACTCTTCTGCCCTCATCACCAAGCTGGAGAAATCCTTGTAACTGCTGGGAAACCCACCCAGGATGCTGCTCCAGCCCATCTCCTCCAAACTGTCCCCTCTCCTAATCTTGGTCCATGTCTTTCTAGACCTGTGCTGTCCAATGGGGCAGCCACTAGCCCCATGCAGCTACTTAAATTAATTAACATTAAAAATTCAGGTTCTCCATTGCACTAGCTACATTTCAAGTGATTAATTACCACACAGGGCTCGTGGCTCCCGGGACGGGCAGCATGGGTGCAGGACATCCCATCGCTGCAGAAGGTTCTATTGGACAGCATGGCACCATCCCGTCCAAGCCATCGCTGGTCTCCCATGATCTGCTGCTGCCCCTCAACAACCCATTCTCCGCCCGGCAGCTGGCCGGATCTAAGACCTAAGGAAGATCCTGCCTCTCTCCCCTCAAATGAAGAATACTTTCAATAGCTCCCTATTGCCCTTTGTATAAAATCCAAACATCTCCCAAGGGTCCACGTGACCTGGCACCCACAGACCTGACCTTTTCTCCCCCCAAAGTCCCCCGAGCCCCGCTGTTTCTCAAACCCACCAAGCTTTTGTGCCCCAGAGCCTTTGTACTTGCTGTCCACCCCCAACCTGGAATGCTTTCCCTACTCACCCCCCCATTTTTTCTTAGCATTTTACTTTAAAACTTTCAAACTGAATGTCATTATTTCCTTTTTCAGGATAATTGTCTTCTCTCTACTCCTTCGCAATAACACCACTTTATGCTTTATACACTTTTTAGAGTGCTTCTGCCTATGAACCGTTAAGAAATCCTTACAGCCATCACCTGATGGGCTAGACAGGAAGTGAAGAATGGAAATATTCCGAGAATATCTGAGAAACTGAGCTTCAGAGAAGTGACCTGCCCGAGGTCCCTGCAGCAGTCACCCAGCCGGGGCCCAACCCCAGTCCAGCCGGGTCCTGGTCGAGCACTCCTGCTGATAGCCAGCAACGCTCTGTTTCGCTTTGCATTGTGCCAACATGGGTTCTGGGCCCCTATGATGTAACGGTGAAGCTCCTACTTCTGGTACAAAGTGCATGTCTATTCCCCGTTAGAAATCCAGCGGGAGTGGACAAGTAGCTGTAAAATGGGCCTCCTGTGCTCTGTCGGCTTCCCTTATCCTGAACAGCGGGCTCCTCATAGAGGCCTTCCCTCACCACGCAGCATCTGCCCCTGCACTGGGTGTCCACAACCTGGGCCTGTCCTTAAAAATCATCCCTGGCGCCTGGCAGGCGTCCAGTCAGGCCTGGCTGCTTATCTGCTCTTGTCAGATGCAGCAGAGAGCAGGGCTGCGCCGGGCCAGGGGGTTTAGCAACTCCGGCTGGGGAGGATTTCAGTACTGCGGCTGGAAGGAGGAAGTCAGACTGAGCCCCCCTCCCCCGCCCGGGGCCTCTGCCCTTGCCCGTCCCTCATCCCTCTTCGAAAGGTTCTTCTTGCCCAAGGATGCCTTGCTCCCTCCTCTCCTTCAGGTCTCTGCAGAAACGTCACCTCCTCCGGGAGAGCTTCCCTGACTACTGCCCCACACCTGACCATGGCTCTATTATTCTTCTGAGTACTGTCACTCCCTGCTGCTGGGTTTTGGTTTGGTTTTGTCTGCCCCACGAGCAGAGAAGCCCCTGAGGACAGTTATAGCCCCTGGGACACAGGTGAGCTCAGCAACTGTTGGGTGAATGAACGCACAAACACATGAGTGTGTGAATACAGGGTAATGATAACCTTTCTGGCTTTCAGCAAGGGCATTTCACTTCGGTCACCTGTGTTCACTGAAGCAGCCACCCTGGGAGGTACACTAGGTGGAGAAAGTTCTTCCTGTAAGGAGCCCATGGGTCCGAGAGGGGCCTTTTCCACGGTCATAGACAGGTTCCCCGTGAGCTGGAGCGCCAACTCAGCCAGCAAGTTCAGCGCCTGCCACGCCACTCTAAAACTGCCAAAAACTCTCTTAGGAAGCCTTCCCTGGACTTCCCAACTGGCAATCAACCTCTGGACCTTGTTGCCTTACAAATGGTTTCCTCACCTGTGAAACAGGTACATGAGCAGCAGGTGAGCCTTGATAACGATACTAAAAGGAGTGAGTATCAACACCACATGTCGGCAATGGGCTCCCTCGTCATGAAGGCTCATTATGCTCACCCACGGCTTCACTTGAAGCTGGTTGCCTGCACTAACCCGTCATTCCTCATTACGACGCTAACAAGGCAGGGCTCTTGGCATCCCCGTTTTACAGATGCAGAAACTGATGCACAGAAAGGTGAAGCGAGTCGCCTTAAGGTCACACAGCTAGGGGGAAGCTCTGTAAGAGAGAGGACCATAGGTAAGACTACTGGGGGTGCCTCTCTCTCAGTCCACTCCCGAGGGTAGGGAGCTGTCCTGACCCTACAAGCCCCAGGCCTGACCAAAAGGCTGCCAACACCGGTATCGAGAGAGAGAGAGAGAGGGGCTCTGGGAGGCGATGGGCAGCCAGCCCAGATCCTAGCTCTCTCCTCCGGGCTGCCTTCCTGACTTGACTGTGCCTGGCTCAGCTTTTCCCAAGATTCAGTGTTGGACCTCCACATGGGGACCAGGCCTGCAAATGATGGACATGTTGACCTCATGTCCCCTCGGGAGATGTGGAGGGTTCTGGACGCCTCTCCTGTAGGACTACACTCAGACTCACGTTCTGTGACCTGGGTGCCTTCCCTCTCTGGACCTCAGTTTCCTTATCTGGCAGAGGGGGTGATAGCCCTGCCCCTGATACTGGAAGTGAAGGACTTGTAGGCTAAGCAATGCTGAACAAAGGTGAAGGACTGTTACTATGGTTACTATTAAGACAGAAACTTCCAGGGCCTGGGGGCCTGGGCAGGGATCTAACCCCAGATCTTTGGACCCACAAGCTTTAGGGGATCCCCCAGCCACAAGGTGCTACTATCACCCTCCCCATTTACCCACGCTGATGCCAAGACTTAAAGGGGCCAAGTCACCTGTCCAGCGGCACACCGGGGTCCCACTCTGGCCTCTGCAGATGGGCTTGCACAGAGTTACGTGCAAAGGGATGCATTTGTTTCTAGCAAGGAAAGGTCTTCTGGGCCACAGCTCCCCTTGAAGTGGCCCATTTTCCTGAAGCTGGTGGGGCTGTGGGGTGGGGAGGAAGTGAGGCTCTCTCTCTCACTTAGCACAAGGGTATTTCCTTTGTGGGAAGGAGCTTTGTTGTGTCAGTCACTTTCCAGGGGCAGGGGTCTCTAAGGCCTGGAGCTAGGCTGAGAAGAGGGTGTCACTGGGCCACAGTGATCCCCGTATCTGCTGGCCATACAGAGAGCAGGTGGTTCCCAGCTCCAGCCAGGGCATTGGTCAGGGGAGGGGCGCAGGCCACATAAGAAGGGGAAGCTGCCAGAAGAGGAACCCACTTATTGCTATTGGGGCCCGCCCACCTGCGTTTCCTCCCCAGAGGCGGGAGTGGTTGGGGCAGCCCCAGCCTGGAGCCCACGTTCTGACTGCCCACAGCTTCAGCTCTTCAAGCCCCCAGGGCTTCTGGCTCTTAGACATCCCTCTGCTCCCTGATTCCCTGTCTCAGCAACTCCTTTGTGCCACCCCCCACCCCCGCAACTGTTCCTATTGTTCCCATCTCAGGCTGGGAAGGGGACCACAACTCCCCACCTCCTGGGCCACCCCCATCCCATCCTGTGATGCCCCGCCCCTGGACCCCACCCCAAGGCCCAGATAGCTCCATCTCTAGTTGGTGTCTTAACATCCCACCTTGCCCCCACCTCCCCTCTGCCCAGGAAACTTCAGACTGCACCACAGCTTCCTGCCTCTGTGGGTGTCAGGGCCCACAGCGAAGTGCTCACTGGGCCCGTCTCCCCTTCACCTGTCAGCACGGAGAGCTCCGCCACCCCTCCAACCAGCCTCCCACTGCTGGGGCATCTGTATCTGCTTCTGCAGGACGGAGACAAGCAGCCAAACTGGCCTCCCAGGGGCCACCCCTGTCCCATAGCTCTGGTCACCGGCAGTTGGCTGGAAAGATGCCACTCTGCACCACCATCCCCCACCACGGGGTCTAGCTCAGCAGGTTCCAGAACCTTCTACAACAACCTTTATGAGACTCGTCTCCAGCTCAGCCACTCCCCTCACCCCCTTAGTCTCTTCCTCTAGTTGGTCTCCTGGCCCTCCTTTTTTGCCACTGATTTTTGATCTCCATCCACCCACGGGTAGAGACGGTCTCACTGCCTTTATCATTCTCCAGGAGCACCTCTGCCTCCAAATCTCTTCTGCATTCGTTCCTCAGGCACCATGCTGGGCGCTGGCATATGGAAGAGGAATAACCCAGTCTCTCCTTCACGGTCCTTGCGACAGGGCTTCCTGGGTCACAGCGGGACACCCCGCAAGGAGCGGCCCCGTTTCTTTCTCCCTGAGTATTCCTCCTCGGGCTGTCCTGCTGACCGTGAAGCCTGTCGACTTCCCTAGGACTTCACTGCGTCGTTCAACCTCCAGCTCTGTTTCTCTGCGGCTTGCCAGAGTCCTTCGGGGAGGGTGGGGGGAGGCAGCTCAGAGCTCTGCAGGCCTTCGATTCAGAACAGGTTGGGCTTGGGTCTGAGCCTGAATGGCTGGGCGGGGGTTGGGGGTGGCGGCCTTAAAAAATCGTGACAACACTTAGCCCTTCCCAACAGCTGACCCCTGTGTTACACATCACATGGATCTAGTGTAATCCTCAAGACTAATTTAGTTAGCCCTGATTACTGATGAGGAAACTGAGGCCCAGATGACACATAGCCAGGGAGCCAGCATCAAAGCCCAGGTCTGATTCCAAAGCATGGGGCGGGAAGATCATCACCGCTGTGGCGGCCCCGTGCCTCTGCTGACTGGGCCTGGAGCCCCTCCAATTCCTCCTGCAGCAGCTGTGAGCGCAAATCCTTCTTACACCAAACAGAAATCTTCCGGAACCTCCACACCACAATCTGCCCTAAAATGTTCTTTGAGCATCTTTTTCTGGCCAAGGCCACAAAGACCAGAAATGGTCCCTGGGCTGGGTCTGATGGGGGAGGCTTCCATGAACAGTGAAGCCTAGGGATCTGATAGGAGAGGCCCTGAGGTCCCAGAGGACGGAGAGTGAAAACTATCCTGTGACCTCTCCCTGCCTCACCAGCACCTCACCCACAAAGTGGGGCTGATGGACCTGCCCCTTCCTGGGTCCCTGACAGGAAGTATGTGAAACTAAAAGTATCCCAGACACACTGTAAGTTTTACTGCTCTTATGGCTACGCACCCGGGGAATTTCTCAGCAACCTTTGGCTTTCTCAGTTCGCAGGGCCCTGTTCTAGGGGCAGTGGTTTGGGGCCCTCATCCAACAAGAGGGGGGTCCTTAGAAGCCACTATAGGATGGGTCCCACCCTACAATAAAGGCTACTGAAGTCAGGAATGGAGGAGGGGTCTGGTGATGGGGTGATCCCTTTTCTGATTCTCTCCAGGGTGGAGTGAGAGATGCTACTCGCCGCCTTGGAGTGGGGGATGTCTAGATTTTGGCTCCATCCAAGGCTAGTGGAGACTTCCCCTCACATGGACAAGGCTTGGCTGGCAGTGGACAGGGCACCTGGTGACGTGGTTCCACGCAGGTCACTAAACACTGAGAGAGGTTGGGTGAGATCCTGACCTTTGTCCCCCAATGTTGGTTCAGCCCAGAAGGGGATTGAGTGCAGGATGGAAGCTCCCTGAGGGCAGACACCTGGCACCCCCCCCCTCCCTCCCCGCGTTGCAACGGGGACTCTGATAACTGACCCGATTAGCCTAAATCCACTTGCATTAGGAGCTGCAGGTGGCCAAGAGAACCTTATTTTGGACTTAGAGCTCTGTTCCTTCCTCAGTGCTTGGTTTATCCCCAGGGAACCAGGAAGACACCGAATTGTAGCCCGAATCCCAGAACTACAGGCTCAAAACTGTAGACCACAGAATTCCAGAACCATGTACTGTAGCCGATGGAATCCCAGAAGTGTGGAACTCAGAATTCATGTCCACAGGACCCCGGAGCCTCAGGATTGTCAACCACAAAATCCCGGAGTCACAGGCTCTGATCTGTAGCCCAGAGTATTCTAGAACCACAGGACCCAGAAATTCAGCCCACAGAATCCTAGCACCAGGGGACTCAAATCTGCAGCCCACAGAATCTTAAGAGACCACAGCATGCAACACACGAAATCCTGGAACCATGGGAAGCAGAAGCGATGCCCACGGTTTTCTAGAACCTCAGGAGAGGAACGAAGCCGTGGGTTCTCAGCACATTAAGCGCTAGGAGGGTGGCCGAGGAGCTCATCTCATTCAAGTACCCTCCTTTCAAAGATGGGGCGACCGAGGCCCTCTGGGCCTCCAGGGCCACCCTGCCAGAGCCCCTCCGCGGCCTTCAGGAGTGCTGGGAAGTCAGGGCCCCACAGGGGCTGGTGGGCGGGGATGCCCGGAGGGGGAAGCCCGGGCGGGGGGGAGGGGGGAACCCTTCGGGCACCAGGGACCCTCGCTGCGCAGGCGCACTCACCGGCGGTATCGTACAGGTTCAGGGTCACCTCCTTGCTGCCCACAGTCACGCTGGCCGTGTATTTCTCGAACACAGATGGGGCGTAGTCCTGTCGGAGAAGAGGTCGGCTGGTTCTTAAGGGGTGCGACGGGGGCCCAGGGTCCAGCTGCGCCGCCCCCCTTCACCCCATCCAGCTCAGCTCCCCTCACCCCGCTGGGCTCTGGAATTCCCGAGGGGGCGCCCCGGGGTGGCGGCTGCCTCTCCACGCGCAGGACGCCGGGGAGCCGGGGTCCAGGCTCAAGGTGCAGGCTGAAGGCCATCCGTCGCCCCCGGGGGTCCCAAGCCCGTTTGCCCGGCAGTCTAACCCCCACCAGCCCCCCGGCGGGCCTCACCTCAGGGAAGGAGCCCTGGCTGTACACCATAAGCAGGGATGTCTTGCCGCAGCCGCCGTCGCCTACGATCACGATCTTCAGCTCCTTCCTGCCCGGGCCCGGGCCCGGGGCCCCGGGGGCATCCATGGCTGTGAGCAGCCAGCACCGGCAATCTCGCGCCGGGCGGACCTCTGGGGCTGAACGATCGGGGGTGGGGGCGGGGTCCAGGGGCGGGGCGAAATAAGCCCCGCCCACTACGTGCCTGCATCGCCTCCGCCAGGCAGCCGCCCGGGCTCACCTCCCAGCCTCAGTTTTCCTTTGTTAGGGTCCCCGCGCGGGGCGTTCACCTTTCATTCCCAGGGAAACTGAGGCAACTGAGGAAGGGGGTACTCGGCCTGTAGCGCCGCTCCCACTCCCTCCCCTGCGCGTCAAGGCGCGCCCCCCATCGACAAGATTCGATCGTTTCGTTTCCGCCGTTCCTCGCCGGACACCCCTGATTGGCAGGCTCCGCCTTCTGGCAGGGACCCTCTGATTGGCCGGCTCGGCCTCCCCCCTCCCCCGCGTCGGACAGGGACCCTTTGATTGGCGGATCGTTGCCCCAGCACCAGGGGTCCAGGAGCCGTGGTTTCAGGCTCTGGGAAAAGCCCCTTGTCTGTACCCCGCCTCAGCTGTGTGGCCTGGGGCAAGTCGGCTTCCGACCAGTTTCCCCACGAGGCAGGTTGGTAGTGCCGGGAAGATGCTGGCACGGGGGGCGTGTCTGCTCACCTAGCCCAGCCCTACGGGCGCCAGTGTGGGTGAGGGCTGGGGTGGGGAATAGCGGTTTCCCTCACCTACCCCCCCACCTCCCCAAGAGCGCAAGGTGGACGTCTGGCGCCCTCTGGCGGGCAATCGCCTTGGGGCGGGCAGCTTGGAGAGCAGGTGAACGACTCCGGAACAATATCCTTTGGGGGTTGGCCCCGAACCACGCGGGCGGAAGTCTCTTTCTAGCAGGGACCAGAGGCGTGAACCGAGGAAAAACACCGTCGAGGAAGGGATGGGGAAAGCCAGGGCAGATCTAGTTGAGATAAGCTGGGCCCCTCGAGAACACCCACCCCACCCTGAAATCTGATTAAGCTCTCTCCAGCCAGCAGCCACGTATCTTCATCCCAAGGATTCTCACCAACCCTCCCACTTCCCTGATCAAAACAGCTATTTATTGAGCACAGTGTACAGGTACTGTCGCGGCTGCTGGCTGAGATCACCCCTGTCCCCCATTCCTTCCCTCCCCGCGACCCTGGGCCCACGGTCCGTTGCACGAGCCAGGCCAGTGGTCAGGAGAGGCGGGGGACCCCTGGAGCCAGTGTGCGGCCGGCAGGTACTGACTGAGGCATGGGCAAGCGAGACACGGGTCCTACGAGCTGGGGTAGGACCTCTGGTAGTTTCCTCAGAGGGTTTGGAAGAACTCAGGATGTTCTAGCCACCCCCACCCCCCTCCCCGCAATCCCCCGGGAAGATTTTCCATTTTCAAGTTCTCGGCAAAGACCAGGTAAACTTTACTTCACGGAGGAAACTGCCAACCTGGCAATTCCATAAACGCCGGGTAGGTTTTCCGCGGGTGCAAGGCACGGTCTGACCACCAGAGGGCAGCAGCGACCGCTCGTGGAAGCTTACAAATAAGAGCCCAGAGCTGGGAAAAGGAGGTAAGGCCCAGCTCCAGGTTGAGTCCTATGTCCCGTCACTGGGTGGGAGGGCCACCTGCTGGGTCAAGCACCCCCACACAAATTTACAGCAACTCATTCATTCCTTTTTTGCAACACAAGTTTATTGAGAGGCAACTGTACTCCTGCCTGCAAGGAGCTGTCTTGGGGAAGCAGTCTGAAGGAGCCTGGGAGATGTGAACAGTTAGAGACAAGAACCTCTGTAGGGTCCAGGGAAGGTTGAGCCTCAGCTAGGCAGTGTTGGGAGGGCAGACCAGTGGAAGCAGGATGGGTACCCTGGGCAAAGGCATGGTGGCTGGAAAACCCCATGAGGTTGCACAGCGCCTGGGCAGCGAAGACGGAGACCAGACATGGTTGTCAAGGTAACTGGGGTTAGATCAGGGAGGGCCTTGCTGCCAGGCTCAAGAGGGGTGTCAGACGGAAAGCTCCTCAAAAGAAGCGCCCAGCCAAAGCCAGGCCCTCAAGCTCTCTGGTGACCAAAGAGGAACTGACTGGCTGGTAAGGCAGGGCTGGGGTCATGTTTCCATAGTGGCAGCCTGAGGCTAGCAGGAGAGGAAGGATGGAAGAGTGAGGGGACACCTGCTTACCTTCACAGCCAGCCCCAGGCCTGACCCTGAGTCAGGGACCCCTGAAGCTCAGGGGGGACTGGAGGACAAGAGAAGGAGGAACCGGGGGGAGAATTCAGTTAGGAGGGTCACCGCACTCTTAGCAAACTGTCACCTGGGGGTTAACCACACCTCCTGACTTTCCTCAAAATCCTGGACCTCAAGTTTCCATTTTCTCCACCTGAGAAACAGGACTCTGATCCCAACTTTAGACAGAACAAATGGCTTCCACAAAACTGAGGGGGGGAGGGGAGGAAAGGCGAGGCTTCCCAGCCCTGCCTGCATCCAGGCAGAACAGCTGACACTGGCCCCAGCCGGCCCGCCCACCCACCCACGGCTGGCCAAGAGGCTGGCAGAACCCCAGCCCCACCCGGCCTGGAGTGTGTTTGATTTGGACCCAGCTCCAGGGGTGGTGAAGAGGCTGGATCTGTACCTAAAAATACCCAGGAGCCAGGCCAGCTGCTGAGAGCTTCCTCAGAGGCAGCTGGGCCGCCGCAGGCCAGCTGAGGAGCTGGGTCTGCCCACACGCATGGGGACAACGTGCTCCCTTACCTGTCAGATGTTCTGAGGACCCGAGTCATTCACCTTCTATTCACCAGGAATTCCTGGAGAGGTTTAGGAAAGCAAGAAAGATTCTTTAAATTGGATCTTAACACAGAGCTTTGGACACAGAAGCCTAGGGGAGCAGGCCAGGTGGCATTTGTGGGGGGAACTCACTCGGCCAGTGCGATCGTAAGGCCAACCGAGCCCAGGAGAGAACTCAGGGCCAGATCCACTTCTGTCCTGTCGGAGCGAAGTCTGACCAGCATAGGTAAGGATGGGGCAGTTAACGACAATTCTTCCAGCTTCTACTTCCCTGGTCCCTGAGAACATCCTAAGAGGTCACCTCACACCTGAGGGGTCATCCACCCCGATGAGACAGAAGACACTGAGCTATTCTTTGAGGTACCAGAGATGGGAGGTGGTCAGGGTTGGGCGGGGAGTCAAGGGCTCTCTCCAGGGCTCAGGACCTGGTGGTGCTGGTGGGGAGGTCATGCTGAAACACAAAAAGCTCCCCTCACAAAGCCAGACTCAGAGACAGCTCAAAAGGCCATCGTCCACCTTCCTCCTCCTGGTTCACATGGGGAGACCTCAGCTCCCAGAGGGGCGGGGACTTGCTGAGGTCACTGGCCAGCTGGTGACGGCGCTGGACCCAGGCGGCCTCCAAGATGGCGGGGTGCCTCTTGCCACAGTCCAGGCAGAGGCAGTCTCCACCCAGAGGGTCCAAAAGGTCGGATTCCAGGCTGGGGCTCCCGGTGGATGAGCCGGAAGAGGCGGGACCCTGGTGTCCAGTAGCGAGGCAGGTCCAGCCACCTCCCAGCCTTGGGCCGCCCTTCCGCTGGCGTGGCCCTCTCCAGGCTGGCCCCACCGGATTGGCGCCAGGGGCAGCCCCGCCCTGAGCTCGCGGGGCGACCGGGGGGCGGGGCCAACCTCCGAGCCAGGAGGAACCACAGCCGGAGGACAGACAGGCTGCTGCGCCCCTCCCTGCCCCCGGGGGGCGGTGGGGGGGGGGACAAAGAAAGGTGAAAGAGGTAAAGAAGAAAGGGAAGTGGGGAGGGGGTATGACCCTTACAGGTCATCGGGCCACCTCTCCCTCGCAAAAATCACATCCAGACCACAGGTTCGCACCTAATTGCTCCCTAACTGTTCCGAGGGCGGGAGTGGAGGACCTGGCTCTAGCCCTCCAGGCAGTGGCTGGGAGGGGGGGGGGTTTAAATCAATTATTTAACCATCCGATGCCCATGGGACATAAAGACCCTGTCTCCGGGAGCCCTAAGGACCCTATCTAAAGGGATGGCGGACACCCTCAGGCAGCAAGCCAGTCACCTGAGGATCAAGGGGGCTGAAAGAGCAATTCAATAGCAGCACCGAATTTGAAATCTTGATTCTGGGCCAGAGTGGAAGGAAGAGGCGCACGGGGTATTAAGAACGTGAACCTCATCAACTTTTACAAAGCGTCCCCCTCCTCCCTGGGGGAAGAGGGTCTGGTGCCAGGTGCAGCAGAATGAACCTCCTTCCCCCACCAGCAAAGGACAAGATGGACCAAACCCAGCTTATTGGGACTGTAGACCCTCATGGGGCCAAGGGAAGGGGGCCAAAAGGAGCCAAGAGCACCACGCTGGTTACTTTCAACCAGACAGCTTTCCCAGCTTCCTGGCAGTGATGCCTGGCATGGGAGGGAGCCCAAAATAACCCAGACAGCTGGGGTGGGGGGGTGCCATGGACACAGGCGATGGGCTGCAAATCAAGACACCTGGAACCCCATCCTGGCTGCCAGGGGTGGCCTCGTGACCTTGGGTGAGTCACTTCCACTCTCTGGGACCCCAAATCATGACCCAATCATGGAACAGCTGGGAGCAGGCCACCATTCCAACTCAAACCACACAGGAGAATTGGGGCTGGCTCCCTGCCCAAGGAAAGTCAGTCTTCCCCTTTGCCCTGAAGCTTTGCCACGTGCCTCCGGGGTGGGTTGGTGGGGGAGGAGCTCGCAGACAGCCCAACCCCCACTCCCTGCAGCCACATGGGAATGGAGGCCAACTAGTGTGAAGCCTGAACGTGAGGCCAAGCCCCCTTAATCACACTTAATCCTCCCACTCCCGTTTCCAGCCTGCGTCTTTATTATCATTTCACACTGGAGACTCACCCAAGGTCACCAGCACAGCCACCAGACTTAGAGCCTCCCTTGATTAAGCGTCAAGATGGCTCTCAGCCAAACCTCCAGGTCAAGCCCTTCAGGCTCCCCCAAACTTAAGTTTAGCCCTCACACTGAGGGGTGGGGTAAAAGTGAGCAGGGCTCATCCCACAAGGAAGCCAAACCTCAGTCCAAATGGGGGAGTGGTGCGGATCAGTGGCACCTGGACCCAAATGGTTCATCAAAGTAATCCCTAGCTAGAGATCACATGGGGGAGGGATCAGAGATCAAGGGCCACACCACCTCCAGCTGTGGAGCCTCCTGGAGCCAGGCAGTGGGAAACTATGAGCAGTCAGCTTGTGTTAGCAGAGTAAGGAGAGCGCTGCCATTACTCGGAAGCTAACACCTCTATCAGGCGCTGAGCTTGGGGTATCAAGTGCACTCGCTCCTGCCCCCTCACAAAACCTCCAGGTGTTACCCAGCCCAAAGGTTCTCAAAACGTGTCCTCGGATTGCAGCCATCAGCATCACCTGGGAACTTGTTAGAACTCCAAGTTCTCCGTCCCCACCTACTGAATCAAAAACTGGGCCCTGGAAACGGTTCTAAAAAGCATGCTCAGGACAGGGGATCACTGACCCAGGCCCATTTGTGCACAGGGGGAACCGGGCTCCGAGACTAAGTCAAAGTCACAGCACGTAAATGGCTAGCCAGGTTTCAAATCCCAGTTTGTCTGATTTTAGAAACAGGATTGGGGGGGGGGGGGCTTTGCAGAGAATGGTGGAATTCCCAGGAATGGGGAGAAGGGTCAAGAAACGTCTTTCTCAGAGGAAGCTGGCCCAGCTCTCAGGTACTTGTGTTCTCCACCTCCCTAGCAGCTAGACATCAGAGGGAAGAGGCCAGCTCACAGTCACCCCACACGCCCCCACTCAGGGCCGGAAGGGAGGGCCCGAGCAGGGCCCGGCTTCCTGGCAGCAGATGGAACCTTTCAGAAGAGGCACCCAGGGCCCTCCCCCCTCCCCACCACAAAACACACAACTGGGAAATACTTGCAAGTGCAGCCTTCTATGCGGCTCAACACTGCATAGAATTGCACGCCCCAAACTCTTGACAACAGAAGCTGACAGGCGGGGATGGATGGACCGAGCAGGCCCAGCAGGGAGCCGATTTCACACACACAGTCCCACACATCTGTGTGGGGGAGGGGCTGCAGAACCAGCCTAGCGGGTTTGGGGTGCCCGCCCTCCCTGGGCTCCAGGCCCAAGCCCCCCAAATCTCCCTCGCAGGCTGGCAAAGGACTCACACCTACCTTGTTATCAGAGTGAAATTAGGCCTGCTCCTGCTGTCCAAAGGAGGATGGTTCACTCTGGGGGTACCCGGTGGTTGCCCTTTCTCCAGCCAAGAGCCTGACAGGGCAAAGTCGGAGGGTTTGTTAGGGAGTTGACAGCCACAAACCGGGCAGGGTCCCCTTGAGGGAGTAGAGGGAGCCTCACAAAAGCCCCCCCCCCCCCTTTTCCATCCGCCCAGGCGGCCCTCACTCTGGAAAGGATGGGGGGGGTGCGGCTGAGTCACGAAGGTTCAGCCCGGGCGACTAGCAGCAGGAGGCGACTCATCTGCATTTCCAAAGGCCCGCCCCGTCCACATCCCCTCCCCAGAAAGGGCCGGAGATGTGAGGGCTTACCCTAGAGCCCTCCGCCTCGGGGGATCCCGGGGAAGGCCCGCTCAGCTTTCCCAGGCCGCAAGCCTCCCCCCGCCCCCCCCCCCCCCGCCCCCGGGCTCTAGAGCGCAGGGTTGGAGGGTGTGCCCTGAACGACCAAATCAGGACGTCAGTGGCCTCCGGGAGGGCCTCAAGCCCAAACTGGGGACCAAGGGGGGCCCCCTGCCCTTCGGGCTCGGCTGTCACGGGCGGGGAGAGCCAAACGTGGGCGCCGAGGCCCGGGTAGGCAGCGGGGATCGGACTAGGGTCAGGGCCGGGCCTGGAGGGAGGCTTCCCCCGCCTCGGGAGGCGCCGGTCGGAGTCAGGGGGAGCCTCGAGGCCCCGACCGCCCCGTGGCCCTTTGCTACTGGCTCCCGCGGCCCCGCCAGCAGAGGCGTCCTCGTGGCCGCAGGGGCCGCCGCGTCGGGAGCGGGGTCCGAACCCGCTGCGGAGCCCGCGCTCGTCGTCGAGGCCTCCCCGGGCCAGGGGCGTCCACGCGGGCGGCGGCCTGGAACGCGGGCGGCGGCGCGCCGGCCTCCCCTCCCCCACGCCCGGCTCCGCCGCCTCCTTCCCTCCTCCCGCTTGGCGCGCAGCAGCCGCCACCGCCCGAGCCGCAGGCGGCGCGAAATGGCGCCCGTCTGGCCGCCTCGCCCGGCGGAGGCGAGCGCCGGAGCCGCGGCGCGCGACGCCCCCGGGCCCGCGGCCCCCCGCAACAGCATCCGCGACCACCCTCCGGCCTGGGGCGCTGTGCCCTGCGGGCTCTCGGGGCCCGGCGACGGGCGGCCATCAGCCCCGGGCCCCCAACGACAACCGGGGAAGGAGGGAGGAAGGAGGAGGAGGAGGGCGGCCGCCATTAGCCACCCACAGCCCGGCCCGCCCGCCTGCCCCCCGGCCCCGGCCCCGGCCCCGGGCCCCGGCAGGCGGCTCTACTCTGAACCTGAAAATAAAACTCGTGTTTGGGAGGGAGGAGCGAGCGCGGCCGGGAGAACAGGCACGGCTCGGTGGCAGGCGGGAGAGATGCTGCGTCATGGTGCCAACATGGACGCCGGCCTTTTGTCCTTTTTTGCTTAGGAAGCGCAGGCACGCCCCGGAGCCCCGAAAAGCCGGCTTCAGAGTGCTAGCCCCACAATCAAAAGAGAAAGAGTTCCTAGGCCAGCGGGGAGGTTTCCTCGTCTTTTGAGCCCCCCATCTCCAAAACACTTCAATTTTTTCCTCCCCATCAAGGCTCAGACCTAGAAAAGCCAGGGGGAGTAAGCTCAGGCAGCTCCATGGATGCCCGAGCTCGCTGGGGGAGACCCTCCCCTCGCCTCCGGGGCAGAAGGGGCAGAAGGGCCTGAGGAGCCCTCCTGGTCCCCCCACCCCTCCCCATCCGGCTGCCAAACATAAAGCTCCAGAAACCTCCTTCTCCCCTCGGCTCCCAAACATCTGCAGCCCTTGGCCTGCTCGAAAAAAGATTTCCTCGAAGGGCAAAAGGCACTTTTTTTTTTTTTTTTTTAAACTTACCCGCTCAGCCCGGTGCCATGGAGTCTGGAAGATCAAGCTGGGCGGAGGTTTTGGACGTGTTATGTAAAAAATATCTTTTGGGGGGATTGTTTAGTTAGGATTATTGGGGGAATGGTGGTGTCTTTCCTGTTGTTACCTTTTTGTAAGTTACACTCTCATGGCATTTTCTGCTCCTTCCACTTCTGCAAACTTTCCAGGGTTGGGTTGGCAAAAGGCGGCTTCGCTGAGGACTGTTTACTGCTCTGGATATAGCAATGGTGTGATCGTCATTAAGAGACAAAAGGCGAAAATACAGTCAAATCAAACAAAAGGCAAAAGACGCACGGCCATCCCAACCACCATAGAAAATACCCGCGAGTTAACGTTGGTGTTTGGCTCGAACCAGCTAGGACTTGTTTTCCAGTTTTAATCTAGTTTCCTGTGACGGCTTTAGTCTCTGTACACAAAGAGAAGGTCTTCCTTTCCCTCACCCACTCCCCTACCAAGACGAGAAAAACAGAAGTGTTTTTCTTCAAATAGATCGATTTTCAAAGAAAGTGTACGTTACTGGGAAGAAAGCTGGCTAGCATTTATGGCTGTAAACATTTTCAAAAGCATAAAGCTAAAACCTTAGCTTTATAAAAAGCAAAATCGTCTAAAAGCATTTTAACTGGCTTATATTAGACAAGAGCGACAAAGACATACATGCAGATGAAGGTTCAGAAAATTAAGGACATCTCAGCAACATTAACATAGAAACTGCACTGCGTAAGGACAGAATGGATTGGGTACTTACAATGTAAAAGGTTTTTAAAAACTTAAAAGAGTAACGACTGCTTACAATTTTTTGTTGCTGCCATTTCGCTAGTCCTAAAACTATACATTTAAAACATTACCTTGTTAAAAAAAAAAAAAGAGCAGAAGGAGTTAATAAGATGGCCAGGTTTAAGTGTTTAATAGAGGAAACTATATATATTTAAAAATTTATTGTTCAGTCAAGAGAATACAGATTAAGATAGCTCCAAGCTCCCCCCACCCACCCAAGAAAAAAAAAGAGGAAAAAAAAATTAAATATGTCATTTACTTAGGTTTTTTGGAATTCAAAATTGTTAACTGCTGACATTAATGGTGTGCTATGACCTAGTTATACAAGACAAAGATGGATTCCAAGTCATAAGGAAAAATCCAGATCTTTTTAAAAAGTCTTCTTCATTCTTCCAATTGTGAGTCCTTTAGCCTGTTGACAAATGTTAAACACAACACTGAGGCGTCCTGAACTGGATGGTGGAGTCAAAGGAAAAACATTCCCCATTTGCAACAAAGGAAAAACCCACTTGGCCATTTAATTCCATTGCAGAAAAATGGCTCCCCTCAGCTGTTGGCCTCTCCTTGGTGTCTGATGAACGATGTTTTGAGATCAGCGTCTAATAACTCAAGCCCTATAGAAGCCGCGCGCTGATTGGCTGCCGCGCCCTGCCGCCCTGCTCCAGCCAATTACCTACCCACGGCCAAATTACAAACCCCGAAAAGAGCCCCAATATGAAATACACCACCACGAAGCCCCAGCAAGGCGGCTCCTTCGCCTCGGCCGCCCGAGAGGAGAGGCAGAGGGGGCTGCAAATGCGTCCTCGCGAAGCCCGGGAGCCTCGGAGTTGAACTCACAAAATGGAAGCCGCGCGCTGATTGGCCGCCGCCACTCCCGGACCTTTAATAAAGAAAGGGGAAGGAAAAGATAAATGCAAAAAAGGGGGACTCTCTCCTCTGCTGGTGGCTGGAGGAAGAAGGGGGGGGGAGAAGCATGTGTTTAGGACAATTACAGGGCGCTCCTCTCCAAAAATAAAAACAGAGCAAAAAGCTTCTATCACCCAGGTCCAGGCGAGGGCTACATCCTCCCAGGAATGTGAATGCTAATTTGGTTAAAATCCTGGTTTCCCCTCCCTAGCTCAGCTCCAAGGGGGAGGGGGTCTCGGGGCCGAGGAGGAAGCCGGAGCAGAGATACCTCGATTGCAACTCGTCTTGAGTCGTCTTGCCTCCCCCCACAGTTACCAGCGTCTAAACACACAATCACACCCCCCCCCCAAAAAAACCCAGCCCTTTCCCCCGGGCCCCCACGCGCCCACCTCCGATCTTGGCAGTTTGGAAACAGTTTTGGAGGCCCTAGGCGCACGCCGCGGCGGCCGCGGCTCGGAGGGTAGCCCCAGCCACGGGAGGTAGAGCCCGGGGAGACCCCCCCTCCCCCGCCAGCCAAGCCCCCCACCTAAGTCCCAGCAGAATAAATAAATTAAAAGGCCTTCCCCCGGGGAGGGGGGAGGCAGTGTGGGAGCGCGCGAGTGAGGGGTGGGGGGCCGCTGGGGCCCGGGGCTTTGGCGGCGCAGCTGCCGCCGCCGGGAGAGTGCCTGGGGAAGCGGCGAGGAAGGAGAGGGGAGGAGGAAGAGGAGGAGGAGGAGGAAGAGGAGGAGGGTGAGCGCTCGGGTCGGGCTCCTTAGCGGTGTATTGTGGGATGTGCGGCTACTGGGAGCCGAGCCTCCGCCGCCAGCCGCCTCCCGGGCAGCAGCAGCAGCAGCAGCAGCGGCGGCGGCGGCAGCAGCTCCGGGCCCGGCAGCCGCGGCGGCGGCGCCCCCCCCTTCCCGGCCCCCCGTCCGGCCGCCCCGGCCTCGGCTCCCGCGGGGGACACCATGTACTGGCTGGCGGCGCAGGGAGGCCGGCGCCCGGCGGGGATGTAAGCGCGGCTCGGGGAGGGAGAGGCCGCGGTCGGCAGCCTGGCGGCCCGAGCCCCCGGCCCCGGCCCCGGCCCCGGCCCCGGCCCCGGCTCCGGCTCCGGCCGAGCGGGCGGGCGGGCGGGCGGCGCCAGGCCTGCCGCGAGCCCAGCGCGCGAGCCGGGCCGAGCGGGCGAGCGAGCGCCACGCCGGGCGGCCAGGCGGCCGGACGGGCACCATGGGCCGGAGCCCGCGTCCTCCGGGCGCCCCGGGCCCCGCCAGCACGCCCCGGGGCCCCCCGGGAGCCCCTCACTGCCGCCCCGAGACGGTGGCCGAGCGGGCGGGCGCCTAATTCTCCCGGAAGGGTTATTCTCTCGCTCTATTCTTATTTTGGGGGGAGCCAGCGCGACAGCTCCTTTTGGGGCGCGCTGGTAAGGTGGGAGGGGGTGGGGGCTGGACGATCTGATTCTTTCGCGTGTGTGTAGAAGCGGCCGCCGCCGCGGCGGAGACGACAACAACTTGCTCGTTTTCAGGTTGGGTTAACGGCATGGAGAACAGTCACCCCCCCCACCACCACCACCAGCAGCCCCCGCCGCAGCCCGGCCCTTCGGGCGAGAGGAGGAACCACCATTGGAGAAGTTACAAGTTGATGATTGACCCGGCTCTGAAAAAGGGGCATCATAAACTGTACCGCTACGATGGGCAGCATTTCAGCCTGGCGGTGAGTAGCCGGCGCGCCTCCCCGCCGCCCCCACCCGCCCCCAGCCGAGCCCGGGGCGGGGGGGAAAGGGTTCGAGCCGCCCAGGGTCCCCCCCTTCCGACCACCGGGCCAACTGTCAGCCGGGTCCCCAGTCCTGGAGTTTGACAAGTGCCTGGAGAAGGGGGTCTGCCCCTGCCCCTGGGGAGTGGGACCAGCCCTCCCATTCCGCCCCGCCCCCCCATGCCTCCCCACAGATGTCCAGCAACCGCCCGGTGGAAATTGTCGAAGATCCCCGGGTCGTTGGGATCTGGACCAAAACCAAGGAGCTGGAGCTGTCGGTGCCCAAATTCAAGGTAGGACCCCTCCCCCCCGATCCCACGGTCTTCCCCCCACACACACACACTCCCCGAGTTCGAAAATAACGCCAGTCCTGACCGAGCCGAGCCCGATTCTGAGTTCCCGCCGTCCACGGCCGGGGAAGTTTTGGCGGGGAGGGGGAGATGTCAGCGAGAGGGGTGATCCCTCTGGGCTACTGTAAACAGAATAACACTCAGTGAAACTGTAATCCAGGATCTGATACAGTGTCCTGCCGGCCCAGCTGGGGGCTTCGGGTCCCCACCTGGCTCCTGCCAGCCCGGCGGCTCTACCCCGGGACCCGCCCCCCTTCTCAGCCTTGTGGCTTAAGGGGGACAACTTCCTAGACCCAGGGTTCGCCCCTGACCCCGCAGCAGGGAGAGGAGGCCGGAATGGGGGGTGGGGAAAGAGAAACTGTTTCTTTTTCCCCTTTCCTTTCGAACCCAGAGGACTTCCACGTTCCAAACGATTTAATCCTCCGCTTCCCGGGCCCGCCCGCGTGCATTTTTTTTTTCCAAAAAAAAAAATATACATATATATATATATATATTTTTTTTTTTACCTTTCATTGTTTTCCACGGGCATGCGAGTGGGGAATGTTGTGTTTCCCTTCGGTTTCAATGTTCTCCAAACTCCCTTCCCCCTCGTCCCTGCCAGATCGATGAGTTCTACGTGGGCCCGGTGCCTCCGAAGCAGGTGACATTTGCCAAGCTGAATGATAACATCCGAGAAAACTTCCTGAGGGACATGTGTAAGAAGTATGGGGAGGTGGAGGAGGTGGAGATTTTGTACAACCCTAAGACCAAGAAGCACTTGGGCATTGCCAAGGTGGTCTTTGCGACGGTCAAGGGAGCCAAGGAGGCTGTTCAGCATCTGCATAGCACTTCAGTCATGGGCAATATCATCCACGTGGAGCTGGACACTAAAGGTGAGTGGAGGCCTGCTTAGGACAACCTACCGCGGGGGAGGGGGGGGCAGGCCCTGTCACTATGACTCCTTTCCCTCCCAGAGCCCCTCTTGTAGTGTTGGGGACCCCCCACAACCCTATTTTTTTTTGCCCCCTCCTGAGGGTAGAGTCACGTGGAGCTAAATGTGTTGTCTGTTGCTAGGAGACAGGCTATAATTTACCAAATGTGCTGTCCTTGGCTACTGCATGTACCCCTAGGGACCACCCAGAGGCTTCCCCACCACTGACACCCCTGCGGGCCCCTCTCTGAGCCCTGGTGGCCTGGGTTTAGGCAGTCCCCAGTGTTGCCATCTGGGTTAGGGGAGGAGGCAGGGTTTGTTTATTTGTGAGGGGCTGAGGGAGAGCCGCTAGAATGCCTTTAAATACATAAAGGGTAGGTCCTTCAACTAAAAAGAGGGCCCTCCAAGGATCCAGGGTCCCAAACCCCCCAGTGCTACCCCTTCCCTCTGGAGGTGGAAAGCAATCTGGGCCCAGAGTGTGGTTTCATTGATAATGTTCCGATAGAGCTGGGCGGGCGGGCTGCTCTGGGTGCTCAAGGGTTGACACTGTGCCTTCCCTCCTCTCTCTTAAAGAGACAGCAGCACCTCCGGTGCACCGGAATCCCGCTCTGTACTCCCTCTGAGCTGGCTGCTGGGAGAGTGGAGCTGGAGAAGCCACCCTTCCTCCCTTAGGTTCTTGGGAGGAGAAGCTGGATGCTGGATAGAGGGGCTTGTAGGACTCTAGGGCATCCCCCAAAGTTTGCCTGTGGCCTCTCTAGGGAAGTTCCCACCAGTATAGAAGAAGGTGCTGGGTGCCCTGAGGAGCAGCGTGCCCTGTGACTGGACAGGCACTGTTGGGTCCAGTGCCTCTTGGGGTCTCCTGGGAGATACTGCCTGGGAGGGCTTCGGTCGGCAGCTTCCAGGAGTTCTGAGAGCACAGGGTTTAGGGGCAACCAGGGCATACCAAACCCAAACTGGAAAATCCAGACCCTTCTTTTTTGCTTTTAATAATGAATACTTGCTGACTGGGTCTCTAAGCCCTTGCTGGAAGTTGTGGAGGGATGCTGGAACTGGGTGGGCACAGTTATCCCACAAAGTCTTGCCAAGCCTGTACCTAGTTCTGAGTTTCCTCAGGGCACAAGCCCAGGTTCCTGCCTAAGCCACAGCACCCCTCTCCCTCCCTCTAGTATCTCAGTCTCTGTCGGGGGCGTACAGACCCTTCCAAATCTACATATCCCTTGGGTGGTTGCAGTCTGATGTCTCTCTGAGAATTGAATATGGAGCCCTCTCCCTGTCACATGCCCATTTCATTTCTGAAAAGGGGAAAGAAAAAAAAAAAAAAGTGGGAGGCCCTCAGAGACTGCCAACTAACTTTGTATTTCGAATTTCGAGAAAGAGACCAGTAAAGTGTAAAGTGTAGCTCAAGGAATGCGTCTCCTTTGCATATGTAAGCAGCTGCTTCAGAGGGCTCTATAAATATCAATAATCTGGGGCCCCCTGCTCTGTAGAGGCCTCTCTCTGCTGTGGGGGGAGGGTTACCAGACAGGGCTCTGTGGGACTGAGTCCCAGGCAGACCTGGGGAGCCTCGGGAGCCTGGTCAGAGGAGGAGGCCTGTGGAGTTCACAGTAATGTGGTGCTAGAGTGTGTTTTACAAACTCTGCTGGTCACCTGGCCCCAGATAGTTAGCAACAAACTGTGGCCTCTGTGTCACTGGGTCTCTCCACTTGCTGTAGGCTCTGGCTGTTAGGGAAGACCTGACTCTTTGTTTGGGTGCCATGGCCCAAGTGACAGGAAAAGGCTTTGTGTTGGGGTGGCATTTCTGTTTTGGGGGGAGTCCCAGTCGCACAAAGGATTAAATTCTGAACCTTAAGGTCAGAAAAATCATACAGTTTAGCAGCTTCGTTGAACAGATAGGACTTCTCAGTGAGGTGCAAAGAGAGGTGGTTACCTAGTTAGGGTCA